TAGTGTAGTGAAAATCTATATCTGTTTTCTGGACCATCATGCCTCTAAGCTAGATGCTATTATACAGCGCTTCTCAACTAAATACTTGACAATCTTTAACTAGAATCTTTAAAGTGGAATCAAATTCAGAAGCACTTTTATACCAATCTATTTTCAATGACACAAATTAACTGTGCGTATTTAAAGCTCAAAACATTTAAAGAAATTCAAGACATCACATGCATGCCATTAATAACTTTCTAAAAATACACACGTACGTGTAATTACCATGCCTGCGATCCAAGTAAAGTGAACTGGTGTTTGATGAACTGTAGTAAAGCACATGACATGTTAGCCCTGCTCTAACCATTAGCTGTTAATTCTTCACTCCTCTTCCTTCTCTATCTAATGGTGCTATATATCGGGGAAGAAATACTTCTTTCTTATTTTCGAGCGGTTTAATCAAATTCATTTACAGTAAAGAGTATCGCGTGCTGTCCTCGTCACTCAGTTAACAGTTGTTGGTTATAAGTGTAGATACAGAGACTATATCGAGATTCTGGGTAAGTGCCAACATTGTAGGCCAAGGTAACACCTACTTTAGTAAATCGTACATCAAATTTAAAAGATAAACATATACATATGATGTTATCAGATATCTACAAAAAATTATTATCTCTTATAAACGATCAATATTGCTCCTAAATTAAACACAAAAAAGAATGTACCGCAGGTACAACAAACATCATAGATAGAGGATATTTAATGGTTTACAATTATGTATCACTGGTACAATAAACATCATAGATAGAGGATATTTAATGGTTTCCCGTTTAATATCATGTTTCACAGGTACAGTGAACATTATTAAGAGGGAATATTTAATGGTTTACAATTATGTATCACAGGTAACAATAAACATTATAGATAGAGAATATGCAAATATCACAGGCAGAATATACATATTTCACATATTCAGTATTTCAGTATATGTAACATTCATATCAATTCATATCAATTACAGTTTAATGTTTTTTCCTGTCGTTTGTGTGTATTCAGGACTACCAGTACTTCGATGTTTTCTTTGTTCCGTTTTGAAGGATTCTACCTTGTCAATGTGTAGAGAGAGGCAGAAACAGTTATGGATGATTGACTATGAATATAATGATAACCCGTGCCGCACACAATCTATTTAATATACGACTTGTGTTTGGCTTTCACTATTGATGTTGTTCGTCATAATAGCCTAACTATTGGACTATGATGAACGGGAGAAGTGCTGGCTATACGTTAACATAGAAAGTACAACGTCCTGTCGAGGTCAAAAGGAAAATCGAAGTGTTACCGAAAGAAATCGTTCAAAAAGCCAATAAAAGGAGCTCGTATTTGTTTAAGGTTGTCCAGATAATAACGGCAAGTTAAGATAAAAGAGTGTCACATAATGAAAACGTGAAACAAACGATGTCAGATAACGAAAACGTGAAACAAACGATGTCAGATAATGAAAACGTGAAACAAACGATGTCAGATAACGAAAACGTGAAACAAACGATGTCAGATAATGAAAACGTGAAACAAACGATGTCAGATAATGAAAACGTGAAACAAACGATATCAGATAATGAAAACGTGAAACAAACAATGGCAGATAACGAAAACGTGAAACAAACGATGTCAGATAATGAAAACGTGAAACAAACGATGTCAGATAATGAAAACGTGAAACAAACCCTTTCAGATAACGAAAACGTGAAACAAACCCTTTCAGATAATGAAAACGTGAAACAAACGATGTCAGATAATGAAAACGTGAAACAAACCCTTTCAGATAATAAAAACGTGAAACAAACCCTTTCAGATAACAAAAACGTGAAACAAACGATGTCAGATAATAAAAACGTGAAACAAACAATGGCATATAATGAAAACGTCTCAGATAATGAAAACGTGAAACAAACCATTTCAGATAACAAAAACGTGAAACAAACGATGTCAGATAATAAAAACGTGAAACAAACCCTTTCAGATAATGAAAACGTGAAACAAACCCTCTCAGATAATGAAAACGTGAAACAAACGATGTCATATAATGAAAACGTGAAACAAACAATGGCAGATAATGAAAACGTGAAACAAACGATGGCAGATAATGAAAACGTGAAACAAACGATGGCAGATACTGAAAACGTGAAACAAACGATGGCAGATAATGAAAACGTGAAACAAACAATGGAAACGATGGCAGATAATGAAAACGTAAAACAAACAATGGCAGATAATGAAAACGTGAAACAAACAATGGCATATAATGAAAACGTGAAACAAACAATGGCAGATAATGAAAACGTGAAACAAACAATGACAGATAATGAAAACGTGAAACAAACGCTGTCAGAATGTACCCATGTACATGACGTTTTTTTGAAATATAATATTTTGTAGATTTTGAGTTTTTAGATAATTTTGGTGTATCCTCAATCGCCTCCAAGGGTTCAAAATTTTGGCCCTTAACAAAAAAGCTGTATGATGCAGTTAATTTCACTATTTGGCTCTGCTGAATCTCATTCTGAATTTGCAGTAAACAGTGCTGTTCACTTGTGTCATTTATCTATTTATTTTATTTACCTATTTTAATTATTTTTATCTATCTTTATAATCAAGCCGAGGGTGAACACTTAAATTAGTAGGAGTATAACTTGATCTGTTTCCATAACTGAGTTTCTTTATTGCCCGTTTGTCTCCTTGTTTTATCTCCGACTATGTGATTTCACAAGTGTATCTCTTCGTAGTTATTCGTGATGTAGCGTCAACAAACATCGTTAAATCAAGAAAAATAGGAAAGAAAGAAATTACCAACATGTCGACATAATCATAATCCAAACACGAATTCAATAAAACCAGGGCAAAATATAAACAAAAGAAAGATTTATAACGAGACTCCCGAAAAAGTAAAAGGAGAATAAGAGAGGATGTTCCTGATGAGTAAGCGTCTTCTGCTTCATTGACGACACCTGTCACGAACAGCTCAATATTGTTGCATATTTTAATAGATAGCATATATTTAAACTAGAAAAAAAACCATTATGAATCTACAATCCGCCATTTGTTTATTTTTTTCTAATTTTTGTTTGTTATGTAAATGTTCTTTACATCATTCCTACTCCTAGTGGCCGGCCATCTTTGATGGATGTAGAGGACATGTTATGAGGTTTCTGAAGGAATCTTTCCGTGACCGATGGATAACCCACCACAACACAGGAAGTAAAAGAAAACCAATCGTACATCGATTGCCTATCATTAATAGACCAAAGGAGAATCCCTCCATGTATTCGATGTTGGAGATGTTTTATGACTGAGTTTTGATTGCAAGCAACCTTCTAACAATTAAAACGTTATCGGCCTCCACCGTCTATACCAAAGTATCATCCATTATATCTGAGCCTTTTGTTACTCAGTAGTCGTGAGATATGTTTTAAACAAATTTGTTCTCGCTGTACATATATTTAAGTTAACTTCTTTTTGGAAACTTTGACTGACTTCATAAAAGGAACCTATATGTATTGGTGGAATATCAGGGTACTAAACCTTGTGGTTCATCACAAGTCGTTTGAGTATAATTTATCAAATATGTTTCTTGTTACATTAAGAATAGACCATGGTTATGCCTGTTCATAAACAATGTTGGGTTTCACGACCATACACCAAATGGTTAAGAAGTTGTTAAACACAAACATGATGGATGGACGACCCTTCGGGAAGCTTGTTCGATCCTTAAGTCAGTTTGCTTGGCCCCTCAAGCAGTCTGCTTAACCCTTTAGACAGCGCGACAATTCAGTCAGCTTGTTTGGTATTCAGTCAAATTGTTTGACAATTCAGTCAGTTTACTGAGGCCCTTACAGGCAGCTTGTTCGGCCCTTCAATCAGTTTGTTTGGTCCTTCAATCAGCTGGATTGGACCTTCATCCAGCATGTTTAGCCGTTCAAGCAGCTTGCACGACAATCAGTCAGCTTGTTTGGTATTCAGTCAGTTTGTTTGGCCCTTCAGTCAGTTTACTGAGGCCCTCACAGGCAGCTTGCTTGGCCCTTCAATCAGCTTGTCTGGCCCTTTAATCAACCTACTTGGCCCTTCATCCAGCTTGTTTGGCCCTTCAAAAAGCTTGCTTCAGTCAGAATGTTGGCCCCTCCAGCAGTCTGCTTAACCCTTTAGGCAGCTTGACAATTCAGACAGTCTGGTGGCCTCTCCAGCAGCCTGCTTAACCCTTTAGGCAGCTTGACAATTCAGACAGTCTGGTGGCCTCTCCAGCAGCCTGCTTAACCCTTTAGGCAGCTTGACAATTCAGACAGTCTGGTGGCCTCTCCAGCAGCCTGCTTAACCCTTTAGGCAGCTTGACAATTCAGACAGTCTGGTGGCCTCTCCAGCAGCCTGCTTAACCCTTTAGGCAGCTTGACAATTCAGACAGTCTGGTGGCCTCTCCAGCAGCCTGCTTAACCCTTTAGGCAGCTTGACAATTCAGACAGTCTGGTGGCCTCTCCAGCAGCCTGCTTAACCCTTTAGGCAGCTTGACAATTCAGACAGTCTGGTGGCCTCTCCAGCAGCCTGCTTAACCCTTTAGGCAGCTTGACAATTCAGACAGTCTGGTGGCCTCTCCAGCAGCCTGCTTAACCCTTTAGGCAGCTTGACAATTCAGACAGTCTGGTGGCCTCTCCAGCAGCCTGCTTAACCCTTTAGGCAGCTTGACAATTCAGACAGTCTGGTGGCCTCTCCAGCAGCCTGCTTATCCCTTTAGGCAGCTTGACAATTCAGACAGTCTGGTGGCTTCTCCAGCAGCCTGCTTAACACTTTAGGCAGCTTGACAATTCAGACAGTCTGGTGGCCTCTCCAGCAGCCTGCTTAACCCTTTAGGCAGCTTGACAATTCAGTCAGCTTGCTTGGCCCTTTAAGCCAGGTGGGCTAATACTAACTAAAATCTAAAAGTCTAAAGATGCTTGTAGTTCTGGTGAAAGAGTAAACATAAATCTGTAGACATTTTTTACAATTCATTTATTGATGTCTATTGAACTTTTCAACATAGAAATAAATTTAGTACATGTATAAACCGTGATTTTAACATGCCTTTAAAACAATCTCACATTACTTACCAAACATCCAATCATAAAATTTATAAAGCACTCATCAATGTCTCCTCACTCATCAATATTAGTTACTACCAAACTTTATCAAGATTTGCCAGGAGAATTTTAGTGCAATCTTAGAGGCAACATATTTTGAATCATATATAAAAAAATCTGAAAAAAATAGCAAATAATTCAAATATATATCCAAGTAGGCAACAAATACTTAAACAATGAAAACATTTTTGGTTACTTTTACAAGTTGTCCAAATGACCTGTATAACTCACCTGTAATCTATGATGTTAGTTTAATGTAATTTTTTTAATGAAATATTTTATCATCCAAACTGTTACCATTTTTTAGGAGCTACAGATGTTTTAAGTTTTAAACTAGCTTGTTAATCCAAGTTGTATCAATCTTGAGAAGTAGATTTTTGAAAATGCCAGATGGACGACTGACACTGCACCACTACATCATTTCATTGGTACTTTTTGTTAAATGAACTAAATATAAGTTACACCATACAGCCCATACTAGTTTCAATTCATCATAATGATGGACATGAACATGAATGACAAATATAAATGCAATTTTTCTTTTTTTCCAGAATTCTGGTTAATGACCTTATAAATGTATCCTATCTTACAGATGAACCTTGTCAATCCAGTAAGCATTAACCTGGTTAGGCCACTAACTAATTGCTATTAATTTCAGCATTAACCTGGTTAGGCCACTAACTAATTGCTGTTAATTTCAGCATTAACCTGGTTAGGCCACTAACTAATCACTTAATTTCAGCATTAACCTGGTTAGGCCACTAACTAATCACTTAATTTCAGCATTAACCTGGTTAGGCCACTAATTTATTGCTGTTAATTTCAGCATTAACCTAGTTAGGCCACTAACTAATCACTGTTCATTTCAGCATTAACTTGGTTAGGCCACTAACTAATCACTTAATTTCAGCATTAACCTAGTTAGGCCACTAACTAATCACTGTTCATTTCAGCATTAACTTGGTTAGGCCACTAACTAGTCACCAGTTCCTCCTTGCTATTAATGCTAATATTCAGTGTTTTGGAGGACAGAATGACCATCTGTTTGTCTCAATACACACACTCACAGTCTGAATCAACAAGACTTTATTACCTAATGTATATGTGGAGAAGTGAAATTGTTTTGGTCGTGTGTAACTTAAATGAAAGAAACGTACAGAGGATATCCTACAGAGAGGTTTACTGACTAGAAAATAAGGTAAGGTTTGCTGCACTTATTTTTTTTTCATTGCACCAATTTCATACATGCACACAAGTTTTCTCCAACCAAGAAGTTCTTCTAGACAGGATTTCAGAACCTACATATACTATCTACAGAATCTGTGTATTTAGAGTCACATCTGAACTCTGATGTGACTAAATATGTGAGTAGTAAATTTGACCTTTTTTTCTTTTTTTTTTTTTCGAGCTATATTTGCCCACAAAAAACAATCTCCACATTATACACAAGTGTGCACAATTAGCAACATTTAGAGCACTCGAGTGTAGGTAGAGTACCTCTCTTCTACTAGGAAAGGATACTTTTTGGTGGGTTTACTTTATAAAACCATTACACAATGGAGAGTTCAGGTTTGGATGATACATATTAAGGAATGCAAATGGAAAATGAATCCCTAAGTGTTTTTCTATGTCTACAGGACAGGCAGTGGTGTACACTCTAATTGTAGAAATAAAACTTACATACAAATGACCTTTACCATACACACCTATGTTGATGGCAAAAGCTACTTTCCCAAAAACAACAGCAGGAATTACCATTTATATGTTGTACAATTATAGCAGGATAACTGCAGCTTCTCTACAGTCCTGTATGCTAACAACTGCAATCCCAAGTCCTCATGTGTCTGTAATCTTAAACATGATGCTTGTATCAAACGAAATGGATAGCTAGTAGTTGACTGGCAGGTCCTCCAGGTCAGAAATATTTCATTATTACCCATAATTACATTTTATGAGCAATCTGTTACTTAAATCAGCTTTAACAAACAAATAAATAAACTGCCAGGTATTTCATCAAAATATCTATCCTTTTACTTGATTTACTTTCAAATCAATATATTATATGTATGATTGTGCATTAAATACTAGAACATCTGCACTAAGTATAACAACATAAACTAAATTAAATAGCTAAACACCTATTCACCGACATGTTCACATCACACCTCAACAACACAACATCTGTACAATATGGCAGTCTCCTACATTTCAATAGTTCTCAAAAGTTGCTTTTTCTTTCTTATTTGTTTGCTAATCCTAGCCCTCTCATCAGTTACCTCCCTTGCCTGTCCAATTGTCATCATGTGAATTAGGTCCTCCAACACCACATAAATTTCCTGTCACATGACCTCATCTAAATTCGTGTTTTTTTTCTCAAACGACACATGTAAAATGATAATTTGTTGTCAAAGTGACAGAAAACACTTTGACACATGATTTTACCGACAGAAAATATATAATTACGATATGATTTCTCCCACTGATTCAGTGACGATCAACTACAAAGTCAGTGTTTTGTTTTTTATGTACACACACACACACACAACACAGTTTCCTCCTATTTCTTTCCCTTGGATTTGGGTTTCTTGCCCTTTATCACCTTCGGCTTGTTTTTTATAAAACCCGCTCTTCTCTTACTGGTCTGAAAAAACAAAAAAATTTAATGTTATTTTACTTCAACATGTTGTTACAAAATGGTTAAGTGATGTGTACCATTACAGCTGAATGTTCTACAATTGATTATTTATCTGAACAAAAAAATTGATAAAATAATCATTTCAATATGACTAAAATCTGAAGTGAATAGAACAAGAAATAAAAATTTGTTCTCTAAATTTGAAGTTTTTGTCCTTCAAATACCTCAAACAAATACAATACATGCCATCTATCCATTGAGGTGGTTCAGATGTCCATACTAAAATGTAACTAGATTCCAAGTTTGATTGGAACAGCAGTTGTACTGTATCAGAAAATTGAGATAAACACAAAACTTAAATGTCAGCTTCTCAAACAAACATTTTTAGAGCAGATGGACTACAAAATCTGGGAAATATTTTGTAAATGATGGATGTGTTGAGGTGTTCACTTTGTGATCTATCTGTTCACCAAATTTGGTTAAAGTTGGAATCACAACTTCATCTAAACACAAAAATTTTAAGAGAAATATCTATGACAGTGCTGTCACAACAAGAAAGCAACACTGTAGTTTTGCTTCCACGACTTTTCACTGTCGCCAGATAAAGATAAGTCCACATAAAATAAAGTGGTTTACACTACAGGAGAAACAAGGTTTTTATACATTTGTATATATATTATATCGTTTCATTGGTCAGCATGGGTTTAACATAGGTAACCTTCAATCTAAATTAAGCTTACCTTTTTGGAATGTTTTTTCTTATTTGTTTTGATTTTTGGCATTCGTTGGTTGAGTACACGCTCACGATTCTCCAAGTCCTTGACCTTGTAGATTCTAACGAGCCAGTGTTCTGTGGTATAGGCCTCCTCCATGTGTGTCAGATCGAAGTTCTTGTTACCAATCTCAACTCCCCTTGTCCTGTCATACCCTGCCGGACTTCTGAAGTCAAGCTACAAATACAAATGGATTTTGTCAGTTTCAAGTTTGATACCCCTTTCCTGACACACATAGCAGAACACTTAACTGATATTGTGTACTATCAGTTTTCAGAGATAAAACAATTTGCTGGACCTCTTTTCTGTCAGACAGATGTATACTTGAACAATAGGATAGAATAAGCAGTACTTTTCATGCGGTTTCTTTCTTTTTAATTCATCAATGCCCATTACGTTTATGTATCAGTCTTAAGGTAATTACTGTAACATGTGAAGACCACTTTAATGCTGTGTGTCGTTTCATTTAAAACTGATCCACAAAATACATATACCTTGTTACATGAAGGCAGGAATATTAATGTAAGCATGCATTATCGATTTCTCATTGATTTATATGTAAAGTTATGTTGGGTTATTTTATGAAAAAAACTGTTTTAAGATAAAAATGCATCTTTTCATTTAACCTGGTGTTTTGGTATTTCTTGCGTTTGTTCAAGTAGAACTATATATATTGCCATGAAAACATTGATATAACCCACCTTGAATGATTCAGATTCTCGATATATCAAAGTTTTTTTTGGAGTCCCTTGAACTCTTAAACATCACAGTTGGACTGTATATATATACATTTCTTACCTGGAGTTCCCCAAATCGGTAGTATGACAACTTATACATGAGGCAGTTAAGTAAGACTTTGGATCCTGCAGAGTCTACACGAAACTCCCCTTGTGGTGTGAAGTAGTCAGACTCCTGCAAAATGATAATTTAAACAGCTATAAGAATGGAACACTATCTGCACATTTTTTAAAGAGATCCATCAGAATAATCTTCTTTGAAATATTAAGTGCTTGTAACAATATCAAAATTCAATGTAGTCAACAATAAATGTCTAAATTAGCTATACACCTCTGAATGATCAGCTACCAGGTTATGACCGTTGGACAAAGGCCACAGGGCGGGGGGTAATATTAGGGGCAAATTAGAGTAGCAGAACTGTATAATTGGTTCATTCCATCCCTATAAGCCAACTTCTTATGACTTCTACAAATATTTTATACAAATTTATATTGTGATAAGGAAGATAATATTGTATAGTATTTAGGAGGTAAAAACCATTGTCCTTACATAGTGAGGATTAAGAGATGAAGAGGGAGGCTAAAACAGAGTACTTTTGGTTAAACTGCTCTGACTTTGTATTAATGGATGCATATTAAACATACATGACATGGAGCACGTGGCGGACATTCATTGTGTTGATAATGCACCTTCAGACCCTTCAATCAAACATTTGTAGGATGTCTGTTTATGATCTGACCCCCTGTAACCTCATCTGTCCTCTGGGGGCAAGAACGTTGTACAGTATAATGCCAATTATCTGTACTGGGATTAAGTGGTTTCGGATACATCACTTTTCAATTAGTTTCTTGAGAAGAAACAGAGTTTGTAGGGTGCCCTAAACTGCCACAGTGTACAGCTGTACACTTAACTACTCGTAATTGTTGTGTGTTCATAATGAGTTAAACATATTAAAGGTGAGTAAAGTTTATGAAGCACAGATAGCCAATCAGTGAACAGGGACACAACTCTCATTGTAATAACTACTGAGGGAGACAAGAATGGAGTTTGGAGAAATGAAAGCTTGGATATGGGGCATCTACATCATAAGTCTTAAAAAAAAAAGAACAAAAACACAAGAAAATACCAATATATCAACATAATTATAATTCAAACTCAAATTTAATTACATGTGGGCAATTAAGACTTCTATGAAGAAATGTTTATTAGGATATCCTCAAAAGGACCAACAACTATCTATGCACTAAGGGGAATAACTCTAATGATGTACACAAGCCTTTTTTTCAAATGTAGTGACTTTGACCTTTAACCTTGAACAATGACCATCAGAATCTTGCGTGGTGTAGAACCTGATAGTGCTATGCTATTGCATAAATATTTTTCTAAAACTGTTCACAGATTCATGAGATATCTTGTAAGAAACCTTTTTATTTCAAAAGCAATCAAGGTTGAACTTTAACCTTGACCAATGACCACTAAAATCTATTCAGGTGCAGAACTTGATAGTGTGGTGCTATGTCGTGAATGAGAACTAAAACTGTTTAAGGATTCATGAAGTATCTAGCACGTAAGTTTGAATTATATTGACGTAACTGTAACCATATATAAAATTACTTCAGAAATATTTTGACAAAATGCAATGAAATGTAAAAAATTCACCAAATTATAATATATTGTTGTGATGTGCAAGGTTTGAGAGAGAAAATCCCTTCTAAGTTTTCAGAAACAGAAACATCATTTAATCCTATTTTGATGAAATGGTTTGGAAGATATCTTTGACAAAATGGCAGCTAGAGATATGTTCACATTACCTTTATGTCTTTGGGGTGCTCCCCTTCAGCGATCCTCACCATCCACAGAAATTTATTGATATCATCCCCTGAGTACCCAATCACACCACCAAAAATGACAAGCACGTAATCAACATCTAACGCTCTCATTATCTTGTAAGCCTCAGGTTCTGTAGAGGACATAGCTTTCCCTACCTGAAACAGTCAAAAGAAAAGTGATTTACTACAAGCTACAAATCAACAAGTAGGTAGATAAAAGTAAACCAAACAAAAGTAACAGACATGTAATATGAACATGACAATACTCATGTCACTAGGATATTGTCAAATGTTCACAGTTTACCTAGTATTTGTAATAAAGAGAATAAAATTTGATGAAACTCAGAAAACAAATGATGGTTCTCATTAAAAACCAAATTTGTACATTGTGTACCTCAGTTTTGTAGTTTTGTACATTCCATCTATATCATTCCATCAACAAAAATTATCCTTGAAAATAGTGAAGATGAAAACCCTCCAATAAGTTATAAACAAGCGTTACCAATGCTATGTGACTGTTATTCCAGGTGTTATTATCCACCAGTGTTGTCCTGTTGCCCATGCCTGCTATCTGATACCCGTAATCCCACCAGGACATAATTCTGGCTTTATCATGGGTGTTTTGACGTAGCCAATAATAAGCCTCACGGAAATCGTCCAATATTGTTCTGCTTCTGAAAACACATAAAAGGATCAAATATTATGCTGCAAACACTGTCACTGATCAGACCGTAAATTCTTTGCTTTGATTCTTGCTATGAATCGAAAACAATTGTTTTCAAACACTGCAAGGAAGCCAGTCATCCAAAGTGGAATTAAATCTAATGTGTATCTGTCACTCTTGAGGTATACACAAAAGTACCACTAAGTCAGAAGTCCACATCTGATACAATCTGTGCTACAAGTATTAAGCCCAGAACAATGTGAAATCCAACTAAATTTGTATACGTAAACTAGTAGAGAAATAATTGATCATACAACAGAGAAAAATTCTATTGTAATGTGTCAACATCACTAATCTCAGGCCGGTGATAGGCTAGTTAGAGTATGGCGATAGGCTAGTTAGTGTAATGATCAACTGTACAGGTGTACTACTTTCAACACTAACAGTACCTTGATGATTTAGCTGACAAACTTTTATTCATAATCAAACTTGGACAAATCATTGACAGAGAAGAGATGAATTTAAGTGATCTTCCAAATGTTGATATCTAACAACTGAGAAAATTAATATTCCAATATCATTTTCCTATTTCGAATACCATCTTACCAAATGAAAATTCATTGACATCCCTATTTTTTCTACACTTACAAAAATAAATCATGAATTGGGATCCAAAGGTGACTTTAAAACATACCCATCGTGATTGTAGGAGGCAAGAACAATGCTTGGGCTAGAATAGGCACTGCTGGTGACCCATGTACAGTGCACAGCAAACAACATGAGCAGCATGAGCAGAGCAATGACAATAATGGTCTTCACATTCATCCCCAGACCGTCCTGGTCCTTTGGCTTTTCTTCCTTTACCTTCTTGGTTTTACCCACCTGTAGATAGACAAGATGATAGAGGTCACAAAATGACAATTAGATACCCAGTAAATTATAGCGTAACTCCCAGGCAATTTGGGGGGGGCGGGACCTACTTTTGATATGATACACACTATCTCACCAAGGTGAACCCATTTTCTAAGTATGACATTCCCATGATTAGTTGAGTAGGAGACAGAGCCTCAACAAATATTCTTTGATGTAGTTCAAAGGTCAAAGTACTTTACTTTTGACACCCAACACAATGTCTCATCCTAATCCTGTGATAAGTCGTGCGGAAGATAGGGAGCCAAACAGAGGTAACCCAAGGAAAATTAGATACCCAGTCAGTAACAGAGGACAGAGATAACCCCAAGACAGCTAAATACACAGTTAATTACAGAGGACAGAGATAACCCCAGGATAGCTAGATACCCAGTAAGTAACAGAGGACAGAGATAACCCCAGGACAGCTAGATACACAGTTAATTACAGAGGACAGAGGTTACCCCAGGACAGCTAGATACCCAGTAAGTGACAGAGGACAGAGATAACCCCAGGACAGCTAGATACACAGTTAATTACAGAGGACAGAGGTAACCCCAAGGACAATTAGATACACAGTTAATTACAGAGGACAGAGGTTACCCCAGGACAATTAGATACCCAGTAAGTAACAGAGGACAGAGATAACCCCAGGACAGCTAGATACCCAGTAAGTTACGGAGGACAGAGATAACCCCAGGACAGCTAAATACACAGTTAATTACAGAGGACAAAGATAACCCCAGGACAGCTAAATACACAGTTAATTACAGAGGACAGAGATAACCCCAAGGACAATTAGATACCCAGTAAGTTACAGAGGACAGAAATAACCCCAGGACAGCTAGATACACAGTTAATTACAGAGGACAGAGGTAACCCCAAGGACAATTAGATACCCAGTAAGTTACAAAGGACAGAGATAACCCAAGGACAATTAGATACACAGTTAATTACAGAGGACAGAGGTTACCCCAGGACAATTAGATACCCAGTAAGTAACAGAGGACAGAGATAACCCCAGGACAGCTAGATACACAGTTAATTACAGAGGACAGAGATAACCCCAGGACAATTAGATACACAGTTAATTACAGAGGACAGAAATAACCCCAGGACAATTAGATACCCAGTAAGTAACAGAGGACAGATATAACCCCAGGACAGCTAGATACACAGTTAATTACAGAGGACAGAGATAACCCCAGGACAATTAGATACACAGTTAATTACAGAGGACAGAGGTTACCCCAGGACAATTAGATACACAGTTAATTACAGAGGACAGAGGTTACCCCAGGACAATTAGATACACAGTTAATTACAGAGGACAGAGATAACCCCAGGACAGCTAGATACACAGTTAATTACACAGGACAGAGGTTACCCTAGGACAATTAGATACCCAGTAAGTAACAGAGGACAGAGATAACCCCAGGACAGCTAGATACACAGTTAATTACAGAGGACAGAGGTTACCCCAGGACAGCTAGATACCCAGTAAGTAGATAACCCCAGGACAGCTAGATACACAGTTAATTACAGAGGACAGAGGTTACCCCAGGACAATTAGATACACAGTTAATTACAGAGGACAGAGATAACCCCAGGACAGCTAGATACACAGTTAATTACAGAGGACAGAGGTTACCCCAGGACAATTAGATACACAGTTAATTACAGAGGACAGAGATAACCCCAGGACAGCTAGATACACAGTTAATTACAGAGGACAGAGGTTACCCCAGGACAATTAGATACACAGTTAATTACAGAGGACAGAGATAACCCCAGGACAGCTAGATACACAGTTAATTACAGAGGACAGAGGTTACCCCAGGACAATTAGATACACAGTTAATTACAGAGGACAGAGATAACCCCAGGACAGCTAGATACACAGTTAATTACAGAGGACAGAGGTTACCCCAGGACAATTAGATACCCAGTAAGTAACAGAGGACAGAGATAACCCCAGGACAGCTAGATACACAGTTAATTACAGAGGACAGAGATAACCCCAGGACAGCTAGATACACAGTTAATTACAGAGGACAGAGGTTACCCCAGGACAATTAGATACACAGTTAATTACAGAGGACAGAGATAACCCCAGGACAGCTAGATACACAGTTAATTACAGAGGACAGAGGTTACCCCAGGACAATTAGATACACAGTTAATTACAGAGGACAGAGGTTACCCCAGGACAGCTAGATACACAGTTAATTACAGAGGACAGAGATAACCCCAGGACAGCTAGATACACAGTTAATTACAGAGGACAGAGGTTACCCCAGGACAATTAGATACCCAGTAAGTAACAGAGGACAGAGATAACCCCAGGACAGCTAGATACACAGTTAATTACAGAGGACAGAGGTTACCCCAGGACAGCTAGATACACAGTTAATTACAGAGGACAGAGATAACCCCAGGACAGCTAGATACACAGTTAATTACAGAGGACAGAGGTTACCCCAGGACAATTAGATACACAGTTAATTACAGAGGACAGAGGTTACCCCAGGACAGCTAGATACCCAGTAAGTAACAGAGGACAGAGGTTACCCCAGGACAATTAGATACCCAGTAAGTAACAGAGGACAGAGATAACCCCAGGACAGCTAGATACACAGTTAATTACAGAGGACAGAGGTTACCCCAGGACAGCTAGATACACAGTTAATTACAGAGGACAGAGATAACCCCAAGACAGCTAAATACACAGTTAATTACAGAGGACAGAGATAACCCCAGGACAATTAGATACACAGTTAATTACAGAGGACAGAGATAACCCCAGGACAGCTAGATACCCAGTAAGTAACAGAGGACAGAGATAACCCCAGGACAGCTAGATACCCAGTAAGTAACAGAGGACAGAGATAACCCCAGGACAGCTAGATACACAGTTAATTACAGAGGACAGAGGTTACCCCAGGACAGCTAGATACCCAGTAAGTGACAGAGGACAGAGATAACCCCAGGACAGCTAGATACACAGTTAATTACAGAGGACAGAGGTTACCCTAGGACAATTAGATACCCAGTAAGTAACAGAGGACAGAGATAACCCCAGGACAGCTAGATACACAGTTAATTACAGAGGACAGAGGTTACCCCAGGACAGCTAGATACCCAGTTAATTACAGAGGACAGAGGTTACCCCAGGACAGCTAGATACCCAGTAAGTGACAGAGGACAGAGATAACCCCAGGACAATTAGATACACAGTTAATTACAGAGGACAGAGGTTACCCCAGGACAGCTAGATACACAGTTAATTACAGAGGACAGAGGTTACCCCAGGACAATTAGATACACAGTTAATTACAGAGGACAGAGATAACCCCAGGACAGCTAGATACACAGTTAATTACAGAGGACAGAGATAACCCCAGGACAATTAGATACACAGTTAATTACAGAGGACAGAGGTTACCCCAGGACAGCTAGATACACAGTTAATTACAGAGGACAGAGGTTACCCCAGGACAATTAGATACACAGTTAATTACAGAGGACAGAGATAACCCCAGGACAGCTAGATACACAGTTAATTACAGAGGACAGAGATAACCCCAGGACAATTAGATACACAGTTAATTACAGAGGACAGAGGTTACCCCAGGACAATTAGATACCCAGTAAGTAACAGAGGACAGAGATAACCCCAGGACAGCTAGATACACAGTTAATTACAGAGGACAGAGATAACCCCAGGACAGCTAGATACACAGTTAATTACAGAGGACAGAGGTTACCCCAGGACAATTAGATACACAGTTAATTACAGAGGACAGAGGTTACCCCAGGACAATTAGATACCCAGTTAATTACAGAGGACAGAGGTTACCCCAGGACAGCTAGATACACAGTTAATTACAGAGGACAGAGGTTACCCCAGGACAGCTAGATACACAGTTAATTACAGAGGACAGAGGTTACCCCAGGACAATTAGATACACAGTTAATTACAGAGGACAGAGGTTACCCCAGGACAATTAGATACCCAGTTAATTACAGAGGACAGAGGTTACCCCAGGACAATTAGATACACAGTTAATTACAGAGGACAGAAATTACCCCAGGACAATTAGATACACAGTTAATTACAGAGGACAGAGGTTACCCCAGGACAGCTAGATACACAGTTAATTACAGAGGACAGAGGTTACCCCAGGACAGCTAGATACACAGTTAATTACAGAGGACAGAGGTTACCCCAGGACAATCAGATACACAGTTAATTACAGAGGACAGAAATTACCCCAGGACAATTAGATACACAGTTAATTACAGAGGACAGAGGTTACCCCAGGACAGCTAGATACACAGTTAATTACAGAGGACAGAGGTTACCCCAGGACAGCTAGATACACAGTTAATTACAGAGGACAGAGGTTACCCCAGGACAATTAGATACACAGTTAATTACAGAGGACAGAGGTTACCCCAGGACAATTAGATACACAGTTAATTACAGAGGACAGAGGTTACCCCAGGACAATTAGATACACAGTTAATTACAGAGGACAGAGGTTACCCCAGGACAATTAGATACACAGTTAATTACAGAGGACAGAAATTACCCCAGGACAATTAGATACACAGTTAATTACAGAGGACAGAGGTTACCCCAGGACAATTAGATACACAGTTAATTACAGAGGACAGAGGTTACCCCAGGACAATTAGATACACAGTTAATTACAGAGGACAGAGATTACCCCAGGACAGCTAGATACACAGTTAATTACAGAGGACAGAGATAACCCCAGGACAATTAGATACACAGTTAATTACAGAGGACAGAAATTACCCCAGGACAATTAGATACACAGTTAATTACAGAGGACAGAGGTTACCCCAGGACAGCTAGATACACAGTTAATTACAGAGGACAGAGGTTACCCCAGGACAATTAGATACACAGTTAATTACAGAGGACAGAGGTTACCCCAGGACAATTAGATACCCAGTTAATTACAGAGGACAGAGGTTACCCCAGGACAGCTAAATACACAGTTAATTACAGAGGACAGAAATTACCCCAGGACAATTAGATACACAGTTAATTACAGAGGACAGAGGTTACCCCAGGACAGCTAGATACACAGTTAATTACAGAGGACAGAGATAACCCCAGGACAATTAGATACACAGTTAATTACAGAGGACAGAGGTTACCCCAGGACAATTAGATACACAGTTAATTACAGAGGACAGAGGTTACCCCAGGACAATTAGATACCCAGTTAATTACAGAGGACAGAGGTTACCCCAGGACAATTAGATACACAGTTAATTACAGAGGACTGAGGTTACCCCAGGACAATTAGATACCCAGTAAGTGACAGAGGACAGAGATAACCCCAGGACAGCTAGATACACAGTTAATTACAGAGGACAGAGGTTACCCCAGGACAATTAGATACCCAGTAAGTAACAGAGGACAGAGATAACCCCAGGACAGCTAGATACACAGTTAATTACAGAGGACAGAGGTTACCCCAGGACAGCTAGATACACAGTTAATTACAGAGGACAGAGGTTACCCCAGGACAATTAGATACACAGTTAATTACAGAGGACAGAGGTTACCCCAGGACAGCTAGATACACAGTTAATTACAGAGGACAGAGGTTACCCCAGGACAGCTAGATACACAGTTAATTACAGAGGACAGAGGTTACCCCAGGACAGCTAAATACACAGTTAATTACAGAGGACAGAGGTTACCCCAGGACAATTAGATACACAGTTAATTACAGAGGACAGAGGTTACCCAGGACAGCTAGATACACAGTTAATTACAGAGGACAGAAATTACCCCAGGACAGCTAGATACACAGTTAATTACAGAGGACAGAGGTTACCCCAGGACAGCTAAATACACAGTTAATTACAGAGGACAGAGGTTACCCCAGGACAGCTAGATACCCAATAAACAGATATTTTTACGAGCTTAAGATTTTTTTGTAAGAATCATATAAGTATCTATGATTATTTAGTACAGGACGATATTGCAGCAAGACTGATAGTGATTTCCAAAAGATATTGTCTCAACATAAATTTTGTAATTAACCTAGATTTGTTATCGTAAGGATAGTCCTACACAACATACCTGATACCATTATCTACTTTTGACATTGATATCTACCTTATCATATAACATGTCATTTTCTCATCCAGAATTTTTTTCTCTCTCTATCTTATCATGTAATGTGTCATTCTTATTATCCAGCTCTTTTTTCTCTCTCTCTACCTTGTCATATAATGTATCATTCTTATTATCGAGTGTTTTCTTCTCTGTCTCTTTGACGCTTGATTTAGGCACATCATCCTTCAGGTAGATTTCAAACGTTTTGGAGAAGGCAATGGCAGCAAGGACACACACAATGGGGGTGAGAGTGAGCATGAGTCTCACCATCACACCAGCAAAGTAGCTGGCAAAAATGGCATACAGCACCACTGCAACACGAAAAATTCTTCAAATTTGAAAATTTTTGCTTGTTTGTTTGTTTTTTTTTCAATTTCACAGCTGAGTCAAGAACATAGAATCAGGTTTAGAGATTTTTATTTCTTGAATATCTTATATTGTTATACTAGCATTTTCAGATCAATTGCAATTAATTATGTACTCGATTGATTGTAATGAAAAAATATTTGTTAGTATTAAAAATCTACAACAGAAATGTCTTAACAAAACTACAAAGTGCCATGTTTGACACGAGACCAAACACTCTGTCAGCATTGGCATCGTACCAAACACACTGGTAAGTCAAGTACCTACCAAATACTCTCTCATCGTTGACATGTTTAACACAGTACCAAACACCCACAGGGAAGGCACATGCTAGGATATGGAGATCGAAGAAGAATGACACCCAAGTAGTGGGTTGGTGCTCAGACACGGAAGCAATGATGGGGATGTGGATCTTGGCATAACCAGTGTCCCACAAGGAGTAGAATCGGCCACTCCAGGGGTGGATGTAACCTACAAACATCAAAACAACATTGGTTATTATCAATAACAAAACCAGCCCTGGTATAGACTTCAACCTTCATGACACTAGAAAGTATTTTTTTCTGACAACGGTCAAGTTTTATACATACTTCTGAGGAACAAATTTCAGGAATTTGGGAAAAAAACTAAAAAATGTCTATAGAACATAAATGTCCCTACTCTCAAGTAATCAAGAACCTGATCAGGTGTAGAACTTAATGTTATGATACTATAGGCAAAGTGTGAACCAGAATCTGATCAGGTGTAGAACTTAATGTTATGATACTAAAGGGTAAGTGTGAACCAGAATCTGATCAGGTGTAGAACATGATGTTATGATACTATAGGGTAAGTGTGAACCAGAATCTGATCAGGTGTAGAACTTAATGTTATGATACTAAAGGGTAAGTGTGAACCAGAATCTGATCAGGTGTAGAACTTAATGTTATGATACTAAAGGGTAAATGTGAACCAGAATCTGATCAGGTGTAGAACTTAATGTTATGATACTATAGGGTAAGTGTGAACCAGAATCTGATCAGGTGTAGAACTTAATGTTATGATACTAAAGGGTAAGTGTGAACCAGAATCTGATCAGGTGTACAACATGATGTTATGATACTAAAGGGTAAGTGTGAACCAGAATCTGATCAGGTGTAGAACTTAATGTTATGATATTATAGGGTAAGTATGAACCAGAATCTGATCAGGTGTAGAACTTAATGTTATGATACTAAAGGGTAAGTGTGAACCAGAATCTGATCAGGTGTAGAACATGATGTTATGATACTATAGGGTAAGTGTGAACCAGAATCTGATCAGGTGTAGAACTTAATGTTATGATACTAAAGGGTAAGTGTGAACCAGAATCTGGTCAGGTGTACAACATGATGTTATGATACTAAAGGGTAAGTGTGAACCAGAATCTGATCAGGTGTAGAACTTAATGTTATGATACTATAGGGTAAGTATGAACCAGAATCTGATCAGGTGTAGAACTTAATGTTATGATACTAAAGGGTAAATGTGAACCAGAATCTGGTCAGGTGTACAACATGATGTTATGATACTAAAGGGTAAGTGTGAACCAGAATCTGATCAGGTGTAGAACTTAATGTTATGATACTATAGGGTAAGTATGAACCAGAATCTGATCAGGTGTAGAACTTAATGTTATGATACTAAAGGGTAAATGTGAACCAGAATCTGGTCAGGTGTACAACATGATGTTATGATACTAAAGGGTAAGTGTGAACAAGAATCTGATCAGGTGTAGAACTTAATGTTATGATACTATAGGCAAAGTGTGAACCAGAATCTGATCTGGTATAGACCTCAATGTTCATGATACTATGGGGTAAGTGTGAACCAGAATCTGATCAGATGTAGAACTTATGTTGTTATAATAATTTGGTAAATATGAACCAAAAATGTGTGAGGTTGTGAATATTCAACACTGATTTGTACAGTATACCATGGGACACAACACAATAAGACAGACCTATAAAGATAACACTTTATATAAGAACCCCTTCCCCCTCCACCTCCAGCCAAACACTGTAAAATGGCAAGGGCATTATAAGATGAAAACAGCTGATTGGCTTACCTGCCCAGGTGAGTCCAACAACAGCAAGGAAGATTACACCAGCTGCTGCCGTCGCAGAAAGGAAGAAGAACAGCTTAAACTCTGCCTTGGTAAGGAAAGACTGGACGTACTTCAAAATGGCATAAGCATAGAGCAGTGCAAACACACCTGAAAGAAAATAGACAAATCACTCATTAAGGCTGTCATTGGTATGTAAGCAGATAGCAGATACTGAAACAAGTACTAATTATGATGGGGACCATTACATATATCGACAAAACATCCTCTAATTATTGTGTATACCTGGTGGTGTTAAGTTAAGATTGATATAAAATCGCACAGCACAATTCATCACAGTAAGGCAGTAATTTTGTTCAATAAGAAAAAGAATATATTGTGTTTGTTGTGTCAGGCAACACCTATGTACCATTTTTCATCAAAGTTGGACACTGTAATTTGCAACCAAACAGAAGCTGTCTTTGGCAATCATGTTGTTAAATCAGAAAATGCGCTTCTTCCTTATGTTCTAAATTTCAACCAATCAGAAGTTGCTATTTTGCACCCACCTTGTTCCATCAGAAAACAGATGTCACCAAGGTGTTTCTGAGGTTAAACAATACCTACATACCAATTTTCATGGAAATTGGACGTTATCTCAATATGGTCATATTTTGTGATTAAATTCATTGTCTAATAAATTAACACAATGCATCATATGCAGTAATGTTGATTTGAAGGTTCCAGATTTGAATTATGTATTACAAAACAATTTTATACCTTTGAAACTGACCAACTAAAATAATGAACAATACAATAATCTGTATGATTTTATTCTGTTTTATAACAGAACAGAATTATTTCATAACAGTAAAAATTATTCTAACCAGGAACATGTATCCAGAGATGTATGTAGATGTATAATTGAAAATTGCCAAATCAGTCACCATCGATGTGGTTTTTATCTAAGTTTGCTCGCTAAATTTATCATGCCTCCCTCCCCTCTCAGTCTCAAGTTAGACTGCTCCTTCTCAAACTCAATTAGACACTCCACACTTCCTATCATCAATAGAAATTTCCTTTAAATGCTCTTAAGAACCTTGTGACTGTCACCCTTCTCTTCACTTAAGCTCTTATAAAAACTTACCAGCTGATGCCATGTGTTCACTAGTTTTGATTGGCTGAAACCCTACAAAGGGAATCTGCATGGACAGGAGCAGACCAACAATGTAAAACGTTGTGTATGCTGAAAAATGAAAACAAGATTACAACATATATTTGTATGTTAGACTTCATTCTCAATCTTCATGCAATAATTTGTTTTCAGTTTGTCATTTCTATTAATTAAGTTCTGCTTTTAAATAACAAAAAAAAAACAAAGATTTAAGTATATGTCATAATCACATTTAACTTATACATTTATTTCTCACAAACTACATTTATTTCTTATTAATGTTCCATGTAGACCTACAGAGGTAGCAAAACTACTTGTAAAGCATCTGAAGATTTGAATGAAAGCTCTACTGCTTTATTAATCAGAAATGTTTCCAATCCTATCATTTCTGAAAAGATGAAGTGGAATGAATACAAACCAATGAAGATACGCCGCGAGAATCGGCCCATCAGCAGGAGCACAAACACATGAAGTGGAATAAGGTTGATGATGAAGACGTAGCCTCCCCAGGCTGACACCTACAAGTAACAAAATACACGTCAACCATATTTCATCAGACAGTAAAGGAAGAAACTTATAGGTCCAGACTTATTAATGGCTATGCCTGTAACTATTACCTCCATTCTGGTGAAGAATGGGATTGTGAAGCCCATGGCAATGATGCCAACTTATATCTTATCCATGTATTTCAATTTTTTTCACTAAATTTTCACTTTTGTTCATTCTATTTCTCCATACATGTAATCATGTTGTCTAGGAAAGAGAAATCTCAAGGGTTGGTTAAGGAGTCTAACTTTAAATGACAATGATAAAATGAAGGTTTTAAATGATTTCTTTTTAATTGTTAATGCCTTTAATGGATTTACCTCCCTTTATTCCAAATATGGACAAACATTATCAAGCTTGGTCTGGGAAAATTTCCAATTGAATTTAGAAATATCTAAAGCAGAATGTAAGCTATGCTCGTTGTTTTACAAACACAGTCATCTCCTGGCCAAATGCCCTGTCATTTAGAGGTGATGTAGTTCAGAATAATGTAGATATATAGTTAGTTACAAGTGACCAACTGATTCACTCACCATGTAAAAGTAGGACAGGGCAGTCAATATTGACCACATCACAGATCCAGTCTTCACAGACTTTATCTACAAAAAAAGCAAAAATTGTGTTACTACATAACAGATCTCTTCAAGTACACTTTCTACGAAAAAATGAAAACATGCTGAAAAATTTACCAATATTGGTGATGTATCGGAGATAACAACAACTTAACTTCAGCACACTTATAAGCTAAGCATGAATTTTGATTCATCCAAATAAACGATAACATAGAGGCCAATTCTCAAATTAATTTCATAATATTTCAGTATCTCAGAGAAAAAAATGTGTCGACAAATACTTCTCATTTGTCCAAATTTTGGTGGTCAGGAAAATATTAATACCAGGTCTAAATAAAAACTTTGTTATACTTACCCATAGGTAATATGTGAACATTAATGCAAAAATGGCAATCCCCTCATTGTCATAGCTGCCTGCTACTGATCTACTAATATATCCCGGTACTGAAACAGAGACGACCAGTAGGTAATATGTGTCATTATAAATAAGTAAAAAGTCATGGAGTGTGACACATAGCTGCCTGCTACTGATCTACTAATATATCCCGGTACTGAAACAGAGACGACCAGTAGGCAATATGTGTCATTATAAATAAGTAAAAAGTCATGGAGTGTGACACATAGCTGCCTGCTACTGATCTACTAATATATCCCGGTACTGAAACAAAGACGACCAGTAGGTAATATGTGTCATTATAAATAAGCAAAAAGTCATGGAGTGTGACACATAGCTGCCTGCTACTGATCTACTAATATATCCCGGTACTGAAACAGAGACGACCAGTAGGTAATATGTGTCATTATAAATAAGTAAAAAGTCATGGAGTGTGACACATAGCTGCCTGCTACAGATCTACTAATATATCCCAGTACTGAAACAGAGACAATCATACGGTAAAGATAGAGTAGACAATCATATTATTTACTGTATACATAATGTGTATCATTATAAATAAGTAAAAAGTCATGGAGTGTGACACACTTGACTTGCACAAATCATCACAATTACATACCAGTTTCTGCTACACATACTCACCTATAGCTATGAAACATGCAGCAAAGAGGCCAGCACCAGTGTTCCAGATTTCTTTGGTGAAAAAGTAAACAGCTAATGATGTCAAACCACTGAAACACAAAGAAGATGTACAATTACAACTGTAAGCAGTCATTTCAAGCATAGGTAGTGTTTGTCTGGTACATAAATTCTAATGGTATGATCCAAATCTGATGGTGGGTTGGTGAAATATGTTACATACAGGCATTACAAGCAGTAGACTATGAGAATATCTAAAGCAAGTAAGTATTTTTACAATAGTATTCAAGTCTAACAGTAGTCTAGTCACTGTAGTGTGGATAACAGTTTATTAAAATTCTTCCATACAAGAGTTTAGATAAAAATGTAATTGAACAGAAAATATTCATGAGCCATTAATTAGCTGCATATTAATTGATCAATGATAAAAATCACATCTGAATTACACAAGTTCATCAAGTAATAAATACTCACCTAAAAATAGGTGCTAAAAACACACATATATCTCGGATATGGACTGGGATGTTGAGGGCTCTTAGGAACCAGTGTATTGTTCCTGAGGTAACCATTAATCCTGGGTAGACCTGTAAACAATCAATATTTTACAACCTGGGGTAACCATTAATCCTGGGTATACCTGTAAACAACCAATATTTTACAACCTGAGGTAACCATTAATCCTGGGTAAACCTGTTAAATGTTTTTTTTTTTTTTTTTTTTAACAAATCTCATCCTACACCAGTAGTGATATCTCCGGGTTCTCATGCAGGAGAACATACCATATACTGAGAGGAATTTAACATGATACCATAGTCACAGGCTATGTTAGGTGTTGTTTTTTTTTTCATTTTCCAACTTCAATTTCAATTACTAGTAAGTTATTGTTTTATTTTGTGTGGTGGCTCAAAAGAAGGAATTTAAAGGATTTCAAATGGTTGGAGAAACTAAAACTTCAATACTCTGCATTCATTTCCTTGAATTATAAATCAACAGACAAGGCACAGAATTAGAGAGACTTGGATGCATATTGTCTATTTACATCAGATTCCCTCGGAAAAACACAATTTTAACAACAAAATACCATAATATAGAAAATAAAATTTTGAAACAATTTTTTATTCATTAGTATCACAGATAAAATGTAACATAACTGAAAAAACTAACTAAGATAACTCTAGATACTTTAATCTCTCTTTTACTTTTATGCTGTAAGGAGAAAATAATTGATATAGATAATAAATAAGAAAAAGCAGAAAAAGTAAGCTTACTTTGTCTTGTACCTTCCACAATTTTTATCAGCATGAAATTGGAAACACATTTGTTTGTTTTCTTTGGCTTAATGCTTAATTTTTGTTTTCCTTTCATATCGATGTGACTAGAAACGTAACAACTTTACATCAAACTACATTTTTATTGTATAAATTTGTTTAATGATATGAACTCTATTGTTGACACCTCTACTTCTTATGAGAAATGGATTATTTATTCATTGTGGATCTTTATAGCAACAGAAATATTACATGTATATGTCCAATGTATATTGTATCTATTATTGTAAGGAATCTCCCATACATCTCTGTAATTTAATACAGTCTCATCCTTGGACAGTCTGTGTAAGTGAAATTATGTAATAGTTTTACCGTGCCCCCAACAATTCTGCCAAGTGGATACCATGCTCGGTCGTCAAACCAGTTCAGGAAGTTGTAGAAGCCATTTTCAACCATATAATGTGTGGAACGATAATTAAACCTAGAAAAAACACAAAAGAAAAAAATCCCTAATCAAGATCATAGAACATGTCAATTGTTACAATCAGGTTTTAAACCAACTTTCGGTAAATATCAGGTGGCAAGGAATCATTTAAACAATAGAGCTCTACATTATATGAGATTGTTATGGTATTCTTGCTATCTATAGGATGTTTATTTGTTCTTTCACATCCTTGAAACAGTTAGTCACATGAAGAAAATGTTGACAGATGATAGTCACACACTTTTATTGTAACATCACAATGGATTGTTATAATCTGGACAGATTGACAATAGATAATTAGTACTTAGTGTTTTTTTTCGCAGAGAGTAGTAATTAGTAGTCGCCAATTACCAATGTTATAGAATTTGACTTGTTAAGGTCAGAGCAACCATAACCCTTCTCCCTTGGACAGACTTCAATGTTAAGACCAAAGAAAGCAAAAAGTATTTCCTGGATAAAATGGGAAGATATGAGAAGATATCAAACTCCATATCTGATTGCCTAAAACTGCTTATCTTTCGGACATTTCATCTTGGAGTCACTAAACATATATGCGATAATAGATTTATGTTCAATTAAAATATCATAATACTACTCTACAATGTACTCAAAGAGACATTTTGGTGGTTTGATCAATCAATTCAACTAGAAGTAAGTAGAAATATTTTTTTACAATCAATTAATTGTAAAATCCAGTCCCAATGGTTAAAACTAGAACATGTGTGTGCTGACCAATACTAGATACCTGGCCAAAATACCCCTATAGCTAACCAAACATGGTGGTCATTAATGCCTCAGGGCATTGGCAATGCTACCATCAAGGACACATCTTAAGATGTTCATTCTTATGTTAGTAGTATACACCCTGGAGCAAATGTCAATCAATGATCACACTAAGGAAATTGCAATAAGGGTGTATTTCACTTCCTTTTAAATGTATCATATACACATTACAGTCTGTTTCATTAATGCTGGTGTTTGCAAGTATCAATGAAATGTCAATATTCAAATTTGATAAATGTATCAAACATTGTTATCTGGTTTTAATCCTAAAGTATAATGATTTGCTGATATGTTATAGCGACTAACCTTTAAGCTTCCTGATGTGCAATTTGAAGTCAGGGAAAACTATAAATCTGTGTACAATACACAAATTGGACTATAATGCATAAATCGGGGCAGGAATTTGTTACTAGAAATAATTGAAATCTCTTTCAACTTAGCTTTTCCCTATTTTTGCACAAGTTGCATTTGTATGGTCATACCACATCATAGAATTACAAAACTAGAATTGATTTGCATGTGGGAAAGTATTGAAAATAGATGCAGTACTTCCAGTATTTATGTTACAATAGTAGTCATTACACCAGCAACCAAGTTCCTAATAAGCCAGTCCTTTCATTAAACTTTTTTTTTCATGTTTTCTATTTTTCCTGATATATGATATAAAGTTTGTTCTATTGACTACTTTGCATCCGTAGATGGCCTTGGTCAACAGGTCGGTATGTTGTACAGACAGCACCCGCAAGTACAAAGCGGATCAGTCCCTGAACAACCTGACATTTTTAAAAATTATTTCACGCAAACAATGGATAGATCTTACTAACAATGAGTAGATGAAAATGCGACATAAAAATAGAACACCAGTGAACAACGCGTGGTCGCCTAATGTGTTGGTGGAGACACGACTTTTTCACTAGATTTGGTAAAAATGCAGGCCCCTTACCATGGATCAAATTCGTGGATGATGCTCTCAAAACGAATGACAGCAAAAAGTCTTGAGCTGAACCCAACGAGCCATGCCAGCGATAAAATCACGATGGTTAAAAGGCTTTGCCAGCCGCCTGGGTTCCACATTATTGAGCGGATGTCAGGTTTAACACCGGTGTCCGCCATCTTGATCAGTTCGCCACGTCCTGTAAGCCAGCCAATCAAATTACTGCAAGTGCGTCCTGTTCATTCGGCTACCCTTTTGACTTTACCTCTTAGTCCACATAAATTAACCTGAATTATTCACTGAAAAAGAGAACATGAAAGGTACACACCATTAATACGCAGGTAGCCTCAATAATTTCCTTATCATTAAACCAGAGGGCTATTCAAATCGTCCTTCTTCACCGATTCGTTATATTCGCATTTCGTTAACATTTTTGTTATCACTTCTATTTCTCGAGAAGTCCACTGATAGGATCATGTTCATTTTTTAACTAGTTATAAAATCGAGTAAAAAAAAAATTGTCAACAGCCGGCCATCTTGGATGTTGGCAATTAAAGATGTTAGGGTTAATAATCTCAAATTCGTCTTTGGTGTCCAGGATATGTACATTTATGGTCCATTTAAAGATTGTTCGCACTAAAAAGTGAGCATAAGACGATGATCATGGATTTTACAGTTTCTTCTGAAAAATATCAAAACAACATCTTTATTATTTTTTTCTTAATTGTTCATAAGTTGTACATGCTCACTTCTAAGTTCATCACGTTATCACATTCTATTTTCTCAGAAGTATTAGAAATCTTTCTTAACTGAACCAAAAGAGTAGATATAGAAATATAATGATGTCGGACGAACAACCAAAGGACAATGCATCAAGTTGTACTGCAGAGCAGAAGCACTGTTTTTGGAACTGATAGTACTTCTAACAAAAATGTTTCTTCACATCTGTGACATGAAGGCTAATTTTCATTTTTATTATAACAAAGAAAATGGTCGATTCCTTACTGTTACCTTACTCACTAGGACGAAGAAAAGGGAACTACAAAGTATAAAGGCGAGGTGGGAAATGGGCAGTTGCTACATACTTATGACAAGTCGGTTGCCTAGCTCTAACCTTGACTCTTTTTTGATGAAAAATTAATTGACTAATTAAATAAGAATATATGAAGCATTCTCGATTTTTATAAAACACTTAGATTGACTTAGGGTTCAAATTAAGCACAGTTTTTGTGACTTCTTTACATCTTCAGTTATTTGGTATTTTGTATTGTTTGTGGAGCGAATCTGTAAATCGTTTTATCGGTCCCTCTCAGAGACGTATATAACACACATTAGATAGCATCTCGATGTATGTCTCTGGTACAAAGGCAGACTGAGTACAATGAAAAATCAATTGAAAATATTCATTATTCACAACCACGGACTCGGATATGTCGAAGTCCTTGTCTGGCAACGTATGTACATCATGATATTGTAATAGTGATCTGATTGAGAAATATTCTATGATATTGTACGATATGATGCTTAGCGTGTTTGATACTCATTTGTTTGACGGATAGTTCCGTTGTTCTCATTTGAGAGCGTGACATTGCTTACTTGAATTGACCGTCGAGATGTCGGCAATGAAGGATAAGACGCTTACTCTTCCGAAACATATCTTTTTTATTCTGCACGTTTTCATGAGTCTCCGTGTAAATATTTCTTTTGCACAATTTTAATGTTCACGTTATGGTATTTACTTATTGTAAACAAATTTTCAAATTCATATTCGTTTATTTCATTATAAAAAATTTCCCTCAAATATTCACAAAACATTACTATGGACGTATGAAACAGAGGGATAAGAAACTAGGCCCAGTAGTGACTTATGCACTGAGCCGTGAAATCTCCTCTTCTCCATGTTGTTATTTAACCCTATTTACCTATGCTCTATTCACTTATATGCTGACCGTTCTGACCACGACCCCCCTTATTCCAGTAAAAGTGAATCTCATTTTCGTAACACAATATCCACAAATACCACTGATAAATTCAAATGACTGATCACAAAATCGACATGAGTCGAATGGACTATTACTCGGCTTTTAAATGCTATCTATTTAAAGATGACTTTCTTCGTAATTTTGCAAATATTAAGGACGTATAATATACTCCCGGTCTCATTGGTTGTCGTGCTTATAGCCATATTGAAATGAAGGATAGCAACCCTGGAAGATCAGAATGGTCAGGGACGTATATGTCAGATCTGTCATATACGTCCCTGGAATGGTGTAATACAAAGCGATAAGAAACTGTCCATATCTCTTTGTATTGCTGTAGCGTTAAGAAATTCAAGTTAACTAGCCTTGCTGTTTTAATAAACATTTGTCTCCAATTACACATGTAATCTTTTCAAAATAATCAGTATTAGAAAGCCTAGTTATATGATTGTGCTAACTTTTGTGACGAATTATTTCTGTTAACTTTTTATATTTGTGAAACAATATGTATGTTTAAACTATTTACAGCTGAAATACCACCCTATATTGTATACCACTTTCTGCCTGAAACGTGGAGAAAATCATTATTAAATTGGTGGCATTAAAAAGATGAGTGATTTTCGGTTGGACTCATTTAACGACTTTTATTTATTGTAATTATTAATGATAAATAAATTAGCTTCACTTCTCACTGGCGGCCAAAATTGCTCTGATCAGGCCGGTCATTGCGGCACAGGTAGATAACAGTGATTACATAAGAAGAGGGTCTTCACGGCAAGCACAAAAGCTAACGCTAGAGAAGTCACCATTGAGCCTAGTTTCTTATCTCTCATTATTATACATCCCTGACATTACCCACAATGGCCAAATAAAAAAAATGTACGTAAACGTTATTTCCCCTTAAGCGCCCCAGCTGATTACCCCTGTGAAGCCTCTTTACTTCCTTTCCGACGACAGATGGCAGCACTTGACAAACATGGAAGATGAAAGTAACTGTTGGCGGGTTTTAAATTAAAAAATATTGAATTTAACAATATTGTGGGAAGAACAGCTTTCGAAGATAGAGATTTACAGTTTCACGGAATCAACATGGGTATATTAATCGCCAAGTTTCGCGTAAGTTGTGTCTGTGTTTGACAATTATCTATCAAACATATTTGATTTCCGTCCTGTCAGCTGTTTGAGTAACCCTGAAATCGTCCACGAAGTGAAAATAGACTTTGTTTTCCTATATACCACTCTTAAATTTCTTAGACGTGCGCGTTAATGTCATTTTAAATAGTGTTACTATAGATGATGTATTGAACCATTGCATTGAGTTACATTGTTATTGTAATATGTTCTCGAAAACACTGGAGTCTGACGTGTTGTATGTAACATTACCATCAGGAACTTGATCTGTATTATACGTCCCAGATAATGTATACGAACTATCTTCATAGCGGTTATATTCTTATTGACAGAACTTCACACCAGACTCCTGTGTCGAAAGCCTTCCATCACATTAACTGTATGATCGATGAATCATTGAGAGTCAAATCCCAAGGTGTTAATGCTTAGTAGATCAATGTCTCAATAGTATAAATATGTGAATGCGACAAATGAAATATTTTCTTCAAGAAGGTATCGTCTAGACACCTGTCCTGGACTGTTATATATTTTGGGACGGTCATTTTGTTGAGCCAATTCCTGATTGACCTATGTGACCTTGCATTCGGATAATTTTGGTTGCTGTAACATGTTACACTTCCAGAAAGAATGAAAAAAAATGTGTTTTAACAAATCACTACTATGTATTATCAGTATATATTTCATTGGCAATAGGTATATTTTTCTTAATACACATTTTAACATGTCAAACATCCTCTTTGATTTTATGAAATAACCTATCAATTCATCCTCTGGTGCCAATGATTTTTGTTGTCATGAATAATAGGTCATGCCTTGCATTTTTTTGGCTATGGAAGTGCATGATGATTTATAGATTTTCACTTTTGACGGATCATTTCTAATTTTATTTAACTATTGAGTTTTAGACAGAGAGATGAAAAATCAACTTTTTCTAAATAGTTTGTTATAAAAAGAAGTTTATCAAGAAATACTGCTCATTTGAGAAAAAAATGATCTAACCTTTCAGAAAAGGTGCACACATGAAAACAGATATCCACCACTTTCACACCATGAATGCACTTTGATTTTGATTTTCATCAACATGTCATTCCCATTCAAATGATGATTTTATGTAATACATGTATACTTCTGGGTTACTTTAAGCTTACCAAAGCATCTCTGTGATTAAGTGATTCCATCAGAAATGCAGTGCAGTCACATGACCAATATTCATGTCAGTTATTTCAGGAGAGCAAATTTGAGGTTGGATCTGGATATTTTTTTAGAAAAATGCTGGTCTATCATTTTTAATTAATCTTATAGTATGAACGCATTTCAAGTCATTTATGTATTGGTTTGGAGGCAATTCATTGAGATAGCATAGCTAGTAAAAAATTATTCTGAAGGGATCCAAAACTAATGTGCCAAGGAGAAATATATATATCATAATGTTTTGGTGACAACACAAAAACACTCTGTCAGTGCATATCATCAAACAAATAACCAGTGAAGTGCACTTTTGTGAAGTTTACATGCATATACTAAATTGTTGTAATAAAATTACTACGATGGTGAAACACACAAGCATACTAATTCTTTGTAAGACTTTTTTTAATGCATTTCTTCTAATTGTTTATATAGTGATCTGTATGTATAAATTTTAATATTAACAAAACTGAATGTGGTTGAAAAATGTCATCAAACAAAAGTCACTTATATTTTTCTTGTTGGTTTCATGGGAAATCTTTGACAAAGTAACCAGTTATATGTATATTATTCTGTTGCTCAGTGTGGTAATCAAACAAGAGTTTATTAGCAGATGTTAACATAGGACAAGCATGAGATTAAGGTATTTGGGAATGATCACAATAACACTAGAAGATATACAAGAAATATCAACAATTTATTATATACAAATAAAGTGACCTAAGGAAGACACTCAACTCTTGCACAGAATGATAACTTTTCAGGTTCCCCACAATGACAATGATTGATTTAAAGCTGCTGCGCTATGTATTCTTGTACATATCTTGTGCACTTATTACCAAGGACGACAAACACTACAAGTGAATGTCCAAGTGACTTGCTAGTGTTACATAAATTCCAGCTATATATCAGAGGAAGGGTTTCAGCAAAAGTTTGATGCTCAAAGAGTAAATACCATGGTAGTTGAACACTGTATTCCTACAGCACTTTGACATTTCCCGTAATTACCAACAAACTCCTTTGTTCTATAACTGGTCATGCTGCTGAAGCTGTGTCTATACATAGATATATAGATTTATTCTGACAATGTACAGAAAATATGTACAGGATTAACAATGCTTTGATTGTCAGCTCTTTAAAGCAATACTTCTGTAGCTGGTTTTTCCAATGTTCATCTAGATTATATTCAAATTGTTTAACTGTCTTTGCATTTACAACATTAACGGTCCTCTACATGATATATGTTGCAATTGGCTGACTTCAATTTGTCATGAAAAGCACAGTCTGTGTTCTGTGTCTGTGTCCATATGAAGTTATAATCCGGCTATAGGTAGTAGCAAACACTTGGCCAGTGATCATAGTGTATCTTACCTGTAGTGACACTTCTATCTTTCCTGCATGTGCACTTTCCTCTCAGCTGTATTTACCATATGTACAATATGTGAGGTATTTATGAAAGAGAGGCTCATTTCTAGTCCATTTAGAATTTTTCTTGTTCTCAGCATTTAAAAGTTTTAGCTATGATATATACAACTTATGTGTGATTGTCATTAGAAAGACCAAATGAGCTGGGTCTCTTGTTGTAAATATATACTATATGTGATATGATGATTGAACACTTGTAGATTCTTGGCGAGGTAATTGGGTGCAGTAGGTCATAAATTTGAGGTCAGGGCGAGGGCACAAGTATAAAAAATTTGTTTCTTCATCAGTCTCTACATGTATGTCAAAATTTGAAACAATATTACATATTTGTTCATGTTTCATTTTGTTTCATAGTCCAAACCATCAACGATTGATGTCTTGGAACAGATTGAAAAGGTAAGTTGTAAAAGTGACATCAGAAAATAAATGAACTTTAAGTTAATTTTTAATAAATAAAAGTGATCAGTCTAGATTTTCTAAATCAGTTTTATAAAGCACTGTAACTTAAGTGTAAATTTGCTGAAGTGCTATTTATCCAAAAACACCACATAGATCTTTACACACGATCAACAGCATCAGTTTGGATTCTAGGTATATATATATACTTAACAAATAAAAAATGTTATCCAGATTTGTATCAATGGTGGCTTTGTGGAATTTCAGTTAAATATGGTTAATTCTATGAGGGGTTAAATGATTCAGGAGAGAACTTTAATCGGTTGAGCTCCAGACTAGTAAACCAAGGGTTCATAGTTCAAATCCTAGTTGAGGCATTGAAATAAATAATGACCTCTGTTACATATCATCAAATGGTGTTATCTGGGATGGCATTCCATTCTTTGTTCATTACCTGTGTCAGTTTCTGTAAGTTGGAGGGTGGATGCCAAGAACATCACAGATGTGCTTTATTGGGTTCAGATCAAAGGACTTTGCCGACCAATCCAAAACCTAGACATTCTTCTGCTGTAAGAATGTTTTAGTCACATAACTGGTGTAGAATGTTGTATTATCATACTGCAAATTTCAGTACTCATCTCCTTGATGGAGTAAAACAATTGCGATGGGTGATTACTTATTTATGGATGTTTTCATTTTTTGCTCACCTGGTCCAGAGGACCATTGAGCTTGTCATCCATCGACTTTTCCTACAAATCCTAGTATAAATGATGGGTCTTGGTCCCACACAGCCAGAGAGGCAGGGCCAAAGAGAAAATTAGACAAATTGTTTGAAGTCCTTCTGTAGAATGAGAGGATTCTGTCTCAAATTGATCTGAAGAATCCCTAGGTGAAGGTACATGGCGGTAGGGTCAGACCCATTCAGAGAAACAGGGAGTATTCTTTAAAATTCTACTCCTCTTGTATGAATGATTGGATTTTGCCTGAATTTGATCTAAAGAATCCTTAGGTGAAGGAAAATCAATTTTGTATAAACAGAGGGTCTTGAACCTCTGTGGTGGAAGGGGCCCAATAGGAAATATAGAACATATTATCTGAAATCCTACTCCACTTGTAGGAAGGATTAAATTTTGCCCAAATTTGACTTTAGGTGAAGGGGAATTAATTTTGTACTAACAGTGGGTCTCTGCCCCCTGGGTCTGTAGGGATTGGGCCCAATAGGGAGAATATTCTTTAAGATCATACTTCTTCTATAGGAATGCCTCAATTGTGTCCCAGTTCGGTATGAAGCATCCATGGGTATGAGGTAATCAATCTTATATAAACAATTGATTTCAACCCCTTGGGCATCCTTTGGTGATTTTTGATCCTTTGTATAATTGTTGGGTCTCGCCCCCTGGGGAAAGGAGGGATGGAGGTTAATATGGGAAATTGAGCAAAGTCTTTTAAATCCTTTTTCTGCAGGAATGCCATGATTGTGTCTCAATTTGGTCTGAAGTTTTTTTTTTCTGTTTTAGGACATTACTCGCCTACAGAAGTTTCGACTACATAATCAGCAACAGCAGAAGAAGTTCATTGGATGCCTTATTTTGTATTCCATTGTTTTATATATAATTGCTGCCTTAGTGATCTACTTTGTCTACTTCCCGCCAGACTGGAAGAACCGTCTACTCTACTCCTCTCCTCTACTTATATTCCCTGTATTGTGAGTAGTATTAATACAGACAAAATATCTACTGCAATATTTCAGAGCTTTCTGTACATGAACTCATCTGGACAGATATACACCTAATACTGGTAAATTCAATGAAATAATTATTGTATTTCTTACAGTGTTTTCTGATCTTGTCGATCTTGTCCTTGCAGACAGGCCTGGCATTGTTAGTTGGAAATTATTTGGGATATATATATATCAAACAAATAGCTTTGAAACATATTGCTAGACCAGAGTTAGATATACAGGCCTACAGAAATCGTGAAACATTCGCATTATTGCTTTATTTGATTATTTTTTGTTTACTCTTTTACTTTATCAAAATTATTTGTTACTGACAGCGTTATCCATTAGGTGGAACGACCATCTCAATGCAGACAATAATAGTTACTGTGTTGTCACTGCTACTTCTATTTTGTAGGCTTAGAGCTGCAATATAAAAGAGACACATTTACGTATAAGATCACTGGTGATTAAGCCTGCGTCCTGTCACCATATTTATTCATCATTATGTATATACTGGTCTTTTTTTCATTGACAGAATTTGGCTGATTAAAAAATTTCTTCATTGGTATTTTGTTAAGAGGATAACTAAAAATGGTAAGTGATGTTCAGTGTGATCCAGCTACAATTTGTTTTAATTAAGTCCTTTGTAACTTCATAGAAAAAAGAATCAGTTCCACAATGTAAAATCTAAGTATTTCCGGAAATTCTTTGAGTCCCATCAAAATTTTATCAATTCAGGACTCAGGATTCACAGGTAGATTCATTACTAACATTTTTCACTCACAGGCCCTCATGATGGAATGCCTGTATAGGTGATTTTACTTTACACCTGGTGACAGCGCTATACCATCTTGTACAATCTTATTAAGTTTATAGAAATGAATCTGTAAACTACCATTTTAAGATTCCTCAAACACTCCTAATTCCTTTAGTATTATTGTTGGTACTTGCAGTTCCACTGTATTATTAGTTTTATAAAGACATTATCTTTAAGACAGTTTATAAAATTGCTGTCTGGTTACATACTGCTAAATGTATTTTCATGCTCCCAGAAGGGAGAGCATATAGTTGCTGCTTTGTTGGGACGTCTGTCCAGATTTTGTCAAGAGCACTACACAAAAACTATACGAGGTAACAACATAAGAACTTTATAGGTAGAGAGATCACAACAAGGAGAAGTGTAGTGCACCAGAACCATCACTCTCTTTTGCATAATTTAGGAGTTATTGCCATTTGTTATTTTTCATACTTAAATTTTTTCATGATCATTACACTAAAACTATCAACAAGGAGAAGTATCCAGAACAATAACTCTTTTTTGCACAATTTAGGAGAAACTTCTAAAACTAAGAGGTATTAACATGAAACTTCCTAGGTAGACAGATCTCAACTAGTAGGTAGGGCAGTGCACATGAATCCTAAATCTCTTATAGCCCTTTGTTATTTCTATACTTAAATTTTGTCCCGTCTCTGACAGCCCTTGTTTAAACAAGCTGGTTTACTCAGCGGACCATGATTAGTTTTATTAAGACTTTGATGAATTTGCTGTCTTACTGTGTTTGTTGTAGATCTGGCATTGAATGAACTACGGGAGAACAGAAAACAAATTGTAAGTGCTATATATAGTGGTATATTGTTATAGAACTTTGTTAGTTCCCTACCAGGAACCAGAGGGTACTTTAGTTTTTTGTTTTATTCATCGGTCCCCTGCTATCTTGTGCAGGCTTTATCTTCTACATAACTTACCACAGGAACTTACCACTGGGGATGTGAAGGTTGTTGTTCATCATTTTAGTTTAACAATGGGGATGATTCATTGAATGTCTGCTCGTTATCAACAATGTTTTACTCAAAAAAATTTGAAAACCCTTGCTTTCTGAATATTTATGTATGTTTTGACATAATTCTGATGCTAATTACCGGTTTCATGGTATGTTGTCATCTGGAACAATTCTATTTTAAGAATTTAGTCAGTTAAATTGGCTGTGTGATGAGCATCATTTGATTAAAATCCATTAAGGTACTGAAATTTGAAAATTGGAAATCTGTGGATTGTATTTCTACTCAAAATATGCAGAAGTATTGAGGGACAATGACCCCATCATTATCAGTTTAATAAAATTAGTATTGGTATGATTTATATCTATGGTTAATTGCATTTTTATTCTATTTTATCTTAATATGATTTAGTTTAAACAATCAAATCATACGAAATACTTAGGAACGTTTCCCTGTGTATAGAACTTATAAATATGACTATATTGAATAATAAAGGAGTAATTGTCAAACAATTGAAAACCAGACCAGACCAATAGTTTGATGATTTCTTTATGATTAATTAACCTTTTCCTGCATAGATGTACTGCTAACTCTGACAGGAGTTCTACAGGTGAACACTACAGGCATTGTCTGGCAGTGGTCGCAATGACTACACACATTGTCACTTAGGTCTAGCAGTATGCTGTATACCTCTAGCTTGGTCGACTGAATACAACAAATTTCCTCATATGGTAACAAAAAATATCTGAAGTATTGCAGGAATGTTATTATGAATATTCTATTTCATTCCCAAAAGGCGTTTCCAGAACCGAAATTGCCAGATTTTGAGTTTTTCAGACTATCGGCATCTGGATTGTCGTGGGTTCACTGTATCTCTCCAATTCCTATACAATTTTTCTGTGACTACTCAGGACATGTCAGTTTATGTACAATTCATTTTCCGTCAGTCAGTATCTGAAGTGTTGTCATGCTGCACTGGTAAACAATACTACTTCCACAGGATAAGCCTCATCCCCAATTATCCATGCAGTATCTCTAAAGTTTCACAATTGTTAGAATGTGGGCACCCAGTAGAAATTCATTGTCTGTCTGTCCATCAGCACTTTCATTTCCAGAGATGTAGGATTCATCTCTGAAACTTACCTGAAGGTGATTTGACTTGCGCAATAAATTTTTATCCAAATAACAACAACTGAGAAAAACATCTACGACTATATCTAGCCTCTACATACATGACCATAAGCTACCTGTTTAACCTATAAAAGGCTGATTAGTTCTGAGGTCTGGAAAGTCTGCACGGTTCACAACATCTAAAGAGATCTCGATATTTCATCAAGCAATATAATAATTTTAATTTAGTTTCCATATTTGAACCTTAGCTAATTAGGAATGGAATGTCTCTGTATGCCATCTTTGTCATCAATTTTTTATATCAGATCATAAGATGATTGGTTATTCAAATCGCCCTATGAACAAGGTTCATTGTCAATCCGTCATCAGTCTGTCTGTATGTAAACAATTATTATTATCGCTATTTTTTGAGAAGTTGGATGGATCTTTCTCAAATTTCATATGTAAGTTTCCCTTGGTACCTTGTTGTGCCGGTTTGACTGTGGGTCAGATTAGGAAAACAAAATGGCCAACAGATGGTCATCTTGACTTTTGACTTTGAAAGTTTGTTATCACTATTTGTTGAGACCTACTGCATAGACCTTTCTCAAATTTAATGTGTAGGTCCCCTTGGTCCTTGGTTGTTCCTGTTTGATTTTAGGTATGATTGAAAAAATGGAAATGGTCGATGGATCTCAACATTGAATGTTTGTTATTGCTAGTTTTTAAGAATTACTGCATCTTTTTCAAATTTCATTTGTAGGTTCCCCTTAATGCCTAGTTGTGCCCGTTTGATTTAAAGACTAACCAGGAAAACAAAATGGCTGACCAGCCGCCATCTTGGATTTTTTCCATGAAGTTTGTTATTGCTATTTCTTGAGAAGTTTTAGATTGATCGTTCTCAAATTTCATTTGAAGGTTCCTCCTTTGTCCCTGGTTGTTCCCGTTTTATTTAAGCTGTGATCAGAATAACAAGATGGTTGACAAGAACGGAAAAGATCCAACTTTCAAAGCATAAATTAAGATAAAACAATGGCGGACACCAAGATCCCGCTGGTATCTCTTGTTGTTGTTACCATGTTATCTAAAGGCTTGAAATATAAGAGGTTGATGCTTTCTTGACCATGATATATTTAACAGATAAACTAACAAAAAAACCTCTGCACTGTTTGTGGTATACATGAATCCGACACATGATGTGTAAGTACTTGGGTTTAGAGTCAGACACATTGCAGGGCCATGGGCCTCTTGTTAAGAATTATGTGTTAGGTTCTTAATGCCTAGTTGTGCCCGTTTGATTTAAAGACTAACCAGGAAAACAAAATGGCTGACCAGCCGCCATCTTGGATTTTTTCCATGAAGTTTGTTATTGCTATTTCAGAAGTTTTAGATTGATCGTTCTCAAATTTCATTTGAAGGTTCCCCCTTTGTCCCTGGTTGTTCCCGTTTTATTTAAGCTGTGATCAGAATAACAAGATGGTTGACAAGAATGGAAAAGATCCAACTTTCAAAGCATAAATTAAGATAAAACAAGGGCAAGACTGTATCTCTTGTTGTTGTTACCATGTTATCTAAAGGCTTGAAATATAAGAGGTTGATGCTTTCTTGACCATGATATATTTAACAGATAAACTAACAAAAAAACCTCTGCACTGTTTGTGGTATACATGAATCCGACACATGATGTGTTAGTACTTGGGTTTAGAGTCAGACACATTGCAGGGCCCCTCTATGATGTGTTGGTTCTCGGATTTTGAGTCGGACACATTGTAGGGCCCTGTATGATGTGTTGGTTTTCGGATTTCGAGTCAGACACATTGTAGGGCACTGTATGATGTGTTAGTACTTGGGTTTAGAGTCAGACACATTGCAGGGCCCTGTATGATGTGTTGGTACTTGGGTTAAGAGTCAGACACATTGTAGGGCCCTGTATGATGTGTTGGTACTTGGGTTTAGAGTCAGACACATTGCAGGGCCCTGTATGATGTGTTAGTACTTGGGTTTAGAGTCAGACACATTGTAGGGCCCTGTATGATGTGTTGGTTCTTGGATTTCGAGTCAGACACATTGCAGGGCCCTGTATGATGTGTTAGTTCTCGGATTTTGAGTCAGACACATTGCAGGGCCCTGTATGATGTGTTCGCACTGTAATACTGAATGTACATGTATTCAACCTCTAACCAAGTGCATTTGTACAGAAATTCATACACGTCATGTTTTTATCATAGGTGAAATTTTCATAAACAATTCATTTTTAATTTCTCCATTGTTTATCTTTGTGCAGTTTACAATGAGAGTCTGATATGATACAGTAAATATGTACAGTATGTGAGATATCAGTGATCTTGTCTTTGGTAGTTAGAAGATGTCATGGAAAAAGAAACATACAAGAAAGCACGAGAAATCCTTCAGAAGTTTGATCCTGCAAGATTTAAAGAGTTGGAGGTGAGTTAATAGTGTTAACTGTTTTGCTCCTCTAATATATATACAGAGGATCTTACATGAGTTTATATTGGAAATTAATGAAACCTCTGGCTAGATAAAATGGAAAAACAAGTGTCATAATCGGAAATGAAATTGAAACAGATTTACGATTCTTTTTGGCAGGAATCACAGAAAATATTACGATACGTATGATAAATAAATCACAGACATATATGTTAAGGCTACTGTGTATTGCATTCAATACAAGTATTGTCATCTGATGATCAATTAAAGTAATAGTTATTAAAACTCAAACCTCAATACTTTTACCTGCCATGGGTGCAGTACATCATGGATGTAAGCATCAGTACAGTAAAAACATACAAATCTTCAATGATAGATTAAAATATATATAATTTTCATACATTATATATTCATTAAGAATAATGGTAAATTAATTAAAAAAGACCTTATAGGGTAAGATATTAAGAAAACTCCTTAAATGGACATCTAGACTTAAGTCAACCAGCAGATGGACAAATGGTTGATACTATGACACCCTCCATATAAGATAGCTTCTAATGCAGGTAATGTTAGAGGGCTAAATATTACATGTAGTGTATTGTAATCTGGTACTACTGTAAAGTTGTTTAATTTCTCACAGAAAATATTTCACATGTGTCCTATTCAGGACCTGATGTTATAGGGAGGAATGAAGTAGTATTCATCACCATCCTCTGTAAACTTTTGTAGTACACTGATTGGGAATCTAATCTAAATATTTTGTAATTTGTGTAGAGAAATGTTTTATACTAGTACAGACATTGAAAATTACCATGCCATAATAAATATTTGCCAGTTAATTGATTTCAGGTTTTAATGACTGAAAATATAACAAAAGTTCTTGTTCGAATGTCTATACAGTTAAACACTATCTCTTGATATATAAGGCACACATGGACTTCAATAAAACACCAATGGACCTTGGTAAGACACCAATGGACCTTGACCTTGGTAAGACACTCATTAACCTTTATAAGACACTAACTGATCTCAATAAAACACCTGTTGACCTGGATAAGATGCCTGTTGGTTGACGTAATAAGACATTTGATTACTTTGATAAGATACTGTTTGATAAAACATTTTTTTGTTGACCTTAATAAAATTATCCTTCACCTTGATCAGACACTGTCAGTCTTAGTAAAATGTCTGTTTGTTGACTTAAGATACCAACTGACTTTGTTACAACACCCACTGAGCTTGATAAGATGGAGAAGTGATTAAGCTTGATAGGACACTCATTGACCCTAGTAAGACTGTTGCCCTTCATTAGACACCGATTGACCTTCGTAAGTCACCTAATGACCTACATTATATCTGTTTGTTTGCAGCCTTCTGTCACAGCATCCCCCACAGTATCCTCACCAGGGACAACATTACGACAGAGAGGCAATGCCTCAGGGACCAGGGTTTCTCCCCAGGCACCACAGAGACACCCCACTATGCAGTTGTCCACTCCAGGTATGAGGACACAGCGGAGCATGACGCCACAGATGCGGCCAGGTGTAACCACTGGTCAACGACCAGGCATGAGTGTGAGCACACCTCGTGGCACGGATACACCACAGATGTCCCGACAAGGTGGCCTACGTCCTCGCATGCTTATGACACCTATTCACAATGGTGTGTACACCTGCATTCTCTAAATATATTGCTCACTTTCACGCTGAAAATTAAATATTTAAATCCTTATCAAAATTTTACCTGAATATGGATTATAAGCATAATAAACTGATTTTCTCTGAGGTTTTGTCAATGTTACTGAAAATGTTGAAGATAATAACTTCAGAAGATTATAAAATATAATTCGTTTTTAGTTAATTCAATTGCTTGCATGTTGGTAAGTTTGATGCAAATCTGTACACATTTGTTTACCTTGCATGTGGTTTTGTGGCTGTGTTTGTTTTGTTCCTTGATTTCATTGTTTTCAGCTCAACTGGCCCAAAGGGCAGGGCTTGAGGGACGAGGGAAATAAATTATCAAAAATCTTCCTCCTTCTGTAGGAATGATTTGGTTTTGCCCATATTTGATCTGAATATTCTTAGGTGAATGGGAATCAGTTCTGTATAAACAGTGGGTTTCAGCCCCCTGGGGAGGAAAGGGTGGGGTGAGATAGGGTAAATAGAGAAAATTCTTTAAACTCCTCCTGTAGGAATGTTGGGAATTTGCCCAAATTTGGTCTGAAGCATCCTTTGGTGAAAATTGTATAAAATATAATCTTTGTTTATTTTACAACAATCTTGAAACAAGTTGTTTTGACTTATACCAATTACTCTTGATGGCCCATATGTAAGTGTGCAAAGAGTTTTATTGTGGAAGGAAACCAGAGTACCCAGATGCCACCTGACCACCTTTTGGTGAAGAGAAATCAATTTGTATAAACAGTGAATCTTCTTCTCAAAATCTAGATATGATAAAATCAAATACTCTTCATGAATGGAAGCATCTGAAGGTACTTTCAGGAAATTGTGAATTTCATGGCCCCAGGGTCACACATTTCCCTGTGGCCATGCTGTGTAAAAGCCTAATGCTGTGGTGACTATCTGCCCTCACACCTACATCTACATATACAGTATTTAAATGAAAACAGTACTTTACTATAAATGGAAATGGACAAAATGCTGATCAATATTTTCCTGATTATAGAGTCAAAATGTCATATACTGAAATTACTGGTCAAAGTTGATGCCATATTTGAAAGCACATTGGATTTTTTACGGTTCTAGATATGATCAAGGTACCTTTAAAATTACCTGTATTTCTATCAGAATTCACATGAACAGGTTGACTCAACTGTTTTCCATCATCTCTTGCTCAAATGTACAAATTGTGGGTGCTAGTGGTCTGATGATTCTGGCCCCGTGAGGTTATGTTGTTTATAAACAAAGCTTGTTTGAACTGCTTTGGTTTGGTGTGTGCTGAGTCATCAAATGTTAACAAGTGAACCTTGAAAACTGTTTTAACGAAATTCAAAATTTAAATCCACATACTAGAGAGTGCTGCATGTTCCGAAGCTGCCATATCCAGCCTCAGTAATGATAGATGGGGCATAGATATGTTTGCCTATTTTCATGACCTGTTTGTTCAGACATATTGAATATTACTTTACAAATACATTGACCGATACCACTGTAATATATCTAATGTTTAACTCCTGGCTTTTCTTCAAACTTGTGACTGGAAGCAAATTGAGTGTTAAATCTGTGAAAGGTCGTATTTTTGTTAATTCTGTGAAAGGTCGTGTTTCTGTTAATTCTGTGAAAGGTCGTGTTTTACAGGCACTTTTAGGTCACCTGTGGCAAAGTCTCTTGGTGCATCTGTTTTTCTTTTTTTACTTCTTTGGAAATTTCCTGAACTGATTTCAATAAAATTTTGAAGAAAACCATCCATGGACTCAAAATTGTAAATTATATGGTCCACCCATACCCAGGGGCCTTAGGGACAGGCCAAAAAAAGCAGTTGAATTGTAAATTTTAAAATCTTCAACTCATTAACCAAATATCGTAAAATCAAATACTCATCATGAATGGAAGGGTCTTAAGATGCTTTACCAAAATTGTAAATTTTATGACCCAGGGCCTCACACTTCCCCCCGAGGATTGGATGAAGTTTATTATAGTTTATGTAGGAAAATCACATTCTTGGGCATAATTTGTTTATTTTCTTTTGGAAATAGTTTGGTGAGAATTGTGTATGATGATTTTGTATGTATTTTTCCAACAATGGGGTTTATTTCACTATTGAAAAAGTTGTGAGATTGAAAGGGGTTGTGCACATGTGCACAAGCCATGGTTCTACCTATGTAGACTACTTAATTAAGAATAAATGTCTATTGTTGATAGTAGATATGTTATTTTAAAGAGAAATAAGCACTAAATAAGCAAAGAGATATTTGATTACTTTTTGTATTACCTACTTACCTTGATGACTGCAGGTAGGACCCCAGGTCCTCCTCTGCCCCGCCCTATTTTACCTCGGGAGAGGAGTACCACAGACCGACTACTTGAGTACCTTGTAGGAGATGGTCCTCAGAATAGGTTTGCTCTAATCTGTCGATACTGCCACAGTCACAATGGCATGGCACTCAAGGAGGAGTTTGAGTATCTAAGTGAGTATATAAACATTTACCATTCCAGGCCATCCTAAATTGATTATAAATGTGAGACCATAAGAGTTTTAGTATCTTAGTAAGTATATCAATATTTACTGTTCTCGACTCAAGGTCACTAGAATTTTAGAATTTGAAGTGAGTAAATCAACGCTTTCTATTATAGACCATCAGAGTTTAAATATTTAAGTGAGTATCACTATACCAGCATTAGTTATTTTGGCCATTATTGGGTTGGATTCTGATTAAGTTGGTTTACTCAAAGACAAAACTGTTTTTAAGGTCATTTGTTTAATGGTCACATCCAGTTTTGAATCAGAGGAATGACAGTTGTATAGTTAAAATTTGTCTCCCTTATATTTCACAGGTTTTCGATGTTGTTATTGCTATCAGATGAATCTAGCTAAGAAGCAGAAGCCGTATGCTCCAAAACTGGACACTGTATCACCAACAACTGGAGTGCGACCATTACAAAAACCCTCTGGTGCAGGTACCAATAAGTAGCATGTGTAATAATACTGAGCTATTCAAAGACAATGAAAAAAATGATCAGTCAATTTAGCTTGCCATGGCAGAAAATACTTAATGAAATAACATGTACACTGCCAACACTTTGTGCTGGTAGGTATGGAATCAAGGCATCTCGGTCAGTACTTAATAGGTCCTTCAAGCTCTGTGAAAAAAAACAGCTATATTCAGGTGTTGTTTCACCTACTATGGGGAAGTTGGATGGGGACTACATTGGAATCAAGGTTTCTGTCCTTCTGGTCAGGGAAGGTAGGTGGGGACTATATTGGAATTGGCTGTCCATCCATATGTACAGAGGATTTAGGTGTGAAGTACACAAGAATTAGGGTGTCTGTCTATCTGTACAGGGAAGTTAGGTGGGGGTACACTGGAATCAAGGTGTCTGTCCATCTATACAGGGCGGTTTGGTGAAGGTACACTGGAATCAAGGTATCTGTCCATCTGTACAGGGAAGTTAGGTGGGGGTACACTGGAATCAGGGTGTCTGTCCATCTATACAGGGCGGTTTGGTGAAGGTACACTGGAATCAAGGTGACTGTCCATCTGTACAGGGAAGTTAGGTGGGGACTATATTGGAATTGGCTGTCCATCCATCATGTACAGAGGATTTAGGTGTGAAGTACACAAGAATTAGGGTGTCTGTCTATCTGTACAGGGAAGTTAGGTGGGGGTACACTGGAATCAGGGTGACTGTCCATATGTACAGGGAAGTTAGTTGGAGGCACACTGGAATCAGGGTGACTGTCCATATGTACAGGAAAGTTTGTTGGAGGCACACTGGAATCAGGGTGTCTGTCCATATGTACAGGGAAGTTAGGTGGGGGTACACTGGAATCAGTGTGACTGTCCATATGTACAGGGAAGTTAGTTGGAGGCACACTGGAATCAGGGTGTCTGTCCATATGTACAGGGAAGTTAGGTGGGGGTACACTGGAATCAAGGTATCTGTCCATCTGTACAGGGAAGTTAGGTTGGGGTACACTGGAATCAAGGTGACTGTCCATCTGTACAGGGAAGTTAGGTGGAGGTACACTGGAATCAGGGTGTCTGTCCATCTGTACAGGGAAGTTAGCTGAGGGTACACTGGAACTGGAATCAGGGTGTCTGTCCATCTGTACAGGGAAGTTTAATGGAGGTACACTGGAAGCAGGGTGTCTGTTCATCTGTACAGAGAAGTTAGCTGAGGGTACACTGGAATCAAGGTGACTGTCCATCTGTACAGGGAAGTTAGGTGGAGGTACACTGGAATCAAGGTGTCTGTCCTCTATACAGGGCGGTTTGGTGAAGGTACACTGGAATCAAGGTATCTGTCCATCTGTACAGGGAAGTTAGGTGGGGGTACACTGGAACCAGGGTGTCTGTCTATCTGTACAGGGAAGTTAGGTGGAGGTACACTGGAATCAAGGTGTCTGTCCATCTGTACAGGGAGTTAGGTGGGGGTACACTGGAATCAGGGTGTCTGTCCATCTGTACAGGGAAGTTAGGTGGAGGTACACTGGAATCAAGGTGTCTGTCCATCTGTACAGGGAGTTAGGTGAGGGTACACTGGAATCAGGGTGTCTGTCCATATGTACAGGGAAGTTAGTTGGAGGTACACTGGAATCAGGGTGTCTGTCCATCTGTTCAGGGAAGTTAGGTGGGGGTACACTGGAATCAGGGTGTTTGTCTATCTGTACAGGGCAGTCAGGTGGGGGTACACTGGTATAAGTATGTTTGTCTATCTGTACAGGGAAGTTAGATGGAGGTACACTGGAATCTGTGTGTCTGTCCATCTATACATGGAAGTTAGGTGGGGGTACACTGGAATCAAGGTTTCCATCCTTCTGTCTAGGGCAGTTAGGTGGAGGTACACTGGAATAATCGTGTCCATCCATCTTTACAGGGAAGTTAGGTGGGGGTACACTGGAATCAAGGTGACTGTCCATCTTTACAGGGAAGTTAAACTAAGGGTACACTGGAAGCAGGGTGTCTGTCCATCTGTACAGGGAAGTTAGCTGAGGGTACACTGGAATCAGAGTGTTTGTCTATCTGTACAGGGCAGTCAGGTGGGGGTACACTGGTATAAGTATGTTTGTCTATCTGTACAGGGAAGTTAGATGGAGGTACACTGGAATCTGTGTGTCTGTCCATCTATACATGGAAGTTAGGTGGGGGTACACTGGAATCAAGGTTTCCATCCTTCTGTCTAGGGCAGTTAGGTGGAGGTACACTGGAATAATCGTGTCCATCCATCTTTACAGGGAAGTTAGGTGGAGGTACACTGGAATCAAGGTATCTGTCCATCTGTACAGGGAAGTTAAACTAAGGGTACACTGGAAGCAGGGTGTCTGTCCATCTGTACAGGGAAGTTAGCTGAGGGTACACTGGAATCAGAGTGTCTGTCCATCTGTATAGGGAAGTTTGATGGAGGGTCACAAAGATCAGTTACAGTTGGTTATTATCCCCTTGTATTCTCTTACTTTGGAGATTGTGATGAAACATCACACACTAAAAAATGGTCATTAAATCTATGACAAGTTTAAATTTCAAGGTTCTAGGGTCAAGGTCAATGTAACCATATTTTGAAAATCCTTGTCAGCACTCAAGTGGGTTTCATTCTTTGAGGGAATTTTATCAAGCTCACAGCCATAACCATCTTACTTGAGATGAAACTGCGATAGGATTTGTATCATTTGTGATAACATGTTTGTTCTGAGATTGTGAAAAAAAATTGAATTATTCATTTCATGTTCCAAAACAACTGAAAAATCTGAAAAATACATTATTTGAAATAATGGTGATATAAATATCCACTCCAACGAATGGTGTCTTGATCACCTAAGTACTTATTAGTATTCATTTCATGTGAATTGTTACATAAGATATTAAGATAATTAGATATATTGCCTAGAGTTTGTTTTTGACAGCAGGTGTTTCAAAGCCTGATGATGAGGAAAGTGAAAGTGAAAGTGATGAAGAAGAAAGCAGCGATGAAACCTCTAAGGAAATAAATGGTGATGATTTTGTCACAACTAGCCAGCATAATACAGAAACTGAAGAAGAGATAGGTCAAACAAAGGTCAAGGGTGAGGTCACAGGTCAGACAGGAGTTGGAGGTCAAGAAATAGAAACTATTACTAGTTCAGTAGACAGTACAGCAGAGGATGTAGATGGAGTGTATCCTTTAGAGGAAGAAAATGGATCAGATTTAGAAAACAAAGGTGTTCCTGATGGAACTAAGAGTGATGAAATTCAAGAGGAAGGAGCTGTGGCTCAGTAAAATGATAATACTATGTTGATATTTATTCAGCTTCAACAGCTTCACAATACTATGTTGATATTTATTCAGCTTCAACACCTTCACAAGCATTAATGGTGAAGAAGTAGGAGGCACCAGTACTGATATTTCGTATAGAGGCAGGGTTTAAACCTTTTCTCTATTCTTTGTACCAATCTGTGTTTGATGGGTAGTGGGGTTTCCAAATTGTGCCTTCCATCTTCCTCATACAGATAATTCTTAAAAGCCTTGACTGAGTATACACTATCAACATGTTTGTCTAATGACAAGAAAATGTTTAAAATAAGATTGATTTCTAGTTGGATGGCTGTACTCTTTCATATGATATATATCATTTCTACAAGGCTATAATAGGGGAAGGGGGCATATGGTGTTGCCTATATCCATCCCATTGCTTCCCATCCCATCTCAATTCAATGTAAGAACCAACCATCTTCATTCTTTGAGAAATTTTGATCAATCTTTATACAACTGTCAATTATGAGTATACTTTGGACATGTTGTGTTTCAGGAGCCCAAGGTCAAGGCCAAGGCCAAGGCACCCATGTTATATAATAGAAAATCATTAACTAATTCAATTTAAATACATAGCAACTTCATTCTGTCACAGAATTTGGTCAAACTTTATGCAATGATCAAGTATGAGTATGCTTTGGACAATCTTGTGTTTCAGAGGTCCAAGTTCAAGGCCAAGGTCAGTGGCACCTAATATAATGCAAATATTAAATATTTCAATATAAACACTCTACAATTTCCTTTTCCATGGATTTAGGCCAAACCTTATACTAAGATCCATTATTCTAGACATCGTTTCAATGTTCAATGTTTAAGCAAATGTCATTCTTGCCATTATTAGAAAATCATTAAGTGATTCAACACTGAATCTAATTTCACTTGGCACGCAGACATTTAATGTCTTAGACATTTTCTAGTTTTATTTGATTCAATTTTTTTGTGTAGGTAGCAGTAATAACATATGGTATATATTATCCATCTTAAGTTTTCCTTGTAGGTTTCCCTTCAGTCCAAATCCATATCAGTCAAAATTTGTCTTCTTGCTTTCACTTCAGTCTTAGTTTGTGACTTTGATGCTTGTGTCAAGGTCAGAGGTCAAAGTCATGGTAAGGAAACCACCTTATTGCAACAGGAATCATTACATAATAAATTTTTTTATCCATGTTGTTTATGCTGTGATGTAAACATCACAAAGATCAAGCTAAATGTCTTTTTAACCGTAAAACAAGTACCCTGTACCTAAAGGATGTTGTGAAAACAGTGCAGTCTGGTGACTTAGTGAATATATTCAAGACTAGACATAACAATAATAAACATGTCCGACTTTGTGGTGCAGATGAGATATATAATTCTTGGTCTTTTTGTCAGCATGAAATTCAGAATAGCTTTATCAACAGCAATTTTTCAAATACAGTTTAATCTTTCTTTTCTCTCAATTCTCTATGTTCGATCTTTTTGTGAATGATATTGATAAATAGCAAAAATTTCATTTTATTTAATTTGAAATCCTACTTGGCAGCTATTTTGAAGCATGTGCAATTATAGGTTATAATAACTCACTTTTTAAACATCTCATGCACCTCAGAGAGGTACCAGGAATGTTATGAAGGCTATTGTGTGCATGTAGTATTTACTGGATTTAGTCCACTATCCAAGATGGGCCAATTTGGGGTCTACCGATTGTCTGGACTTCCAACATGTTGATATTGATATTACTGTGTAGGATAATCTTAAAGCTTTCTAAAAATGTTGTGAAGTTTTGTCAAGTTGAGTTTGATTTCTTCTCTTGTTGTCATTTGTAGTGTTTAGACTAGGTGTAGATTTGCCAGGAATAATAAAGTGTCATTCTTTCGGTAAAACCATCTTGGTATATATCCATACACAATTTTTAGCCCACCATCGTCAGATCTTTCTGGGATCTCTTGTTTGTTTATGCTCTGCTGTTTGTTAACATGTAACAAATGAAACTTCCCCAGTTTGATTGCTGGCATTTATCTATACCTATGGGAGCCAAGAATCTGTTTTATAAAGATTTGATTGTAGCCTGGGTCAGTGGTGTAGTGGATCAGGATACAAGGAGTTAGCTTTATTGTTTATGTTAATTAGGTAGGTCTAAGCTGACAGTTATTTTCTTAAAGTACAAAGAATAATGTGCCTTTGTTTCTTTACCGCTGAAACATGTTATGAAAAAAGAAAATCATGATTAATTATTAAAGGATTAGATCACAATATCAAGTAATGTAGAAGATGAACAAGATAGAAATGTTTATCAATAATGTCACAATATAAAAGCAAGCCCCATTTTATGTATAAAGCTGTAAAACTTCTATCCCTAGTACTGATGAGACTGTTGGTATGTGAAGTGACCCTAAATCCTAGAGAGTACTGATGAGGCTGTTGGTGTGTGAAGTGACCCTAAACTTTAGAGAGTACTGATGAGACTGTTGGTATGTGAAGTGACTCTGAACCCTAGAGAGTACGGATGAGACTGTTGGTATGTGAAGTAACTTCTAACCCTAGAGAGTACTGATGAGACTGTTGGTATGTGAAGTGTCTAAACCTTTGAGATTACTGTTGTTTGTATGTAAAGTGACTTCTAACCATGTCAATTTTTTTACATACACATATATACACTGTTCATGTTTATGTAAAAAGTTTGTCTTTTTATTTTTCTCAAAAGATTATATTTCTAATATAAGCAGAGGACCATTCCATGACAGTAAGTAACCTGTAGCTGTACAGTTTCTTCATCACTCTGTTTCAGTCAGTATTGATAGTTCTAACATCAACACCTGGCCTCCTCCTGTCACAATACAACAAAAGCTGTTAGATCAACTACATTTAATGATGCATGGAATCTTGTTTTGAAAGAGATTCCATGTAATAAAATGTTAGTCACAATAAAGTGCTTATTTTACATGCCTTAATCTTACCACTAGCATTACAAAAAAAGAAATTCTTATTGAGATGTGTCAGAATTTATGCATTCAAATATTGTAAGCATTCCTAAGAGCATCAGACTATTACATTTGATGTTAAACTTTATTTATACAAAATATGATACAATATGATAGGTTTATACATTGTATGGTACACCTTGGTCTATACATTGTATTGTATACCTTGTTCTATACATTGTATGGTATACCTTGGTCTATACATTGTATCATACAACCTTGGTTTATACATTGTATGGTACACCTTGGTCTATACATTGTATCATACAACCTTGGTTTATACATTGTATGGTACACCTTGGTCTATACATTGTATTGTATACCTTGGTCTATACATTGTATTGTATACCTTGTTCTATACATTGTATGGTACACCTTGGTCTATACATTGTATCATACAACCTTGGTTTACACATTGTATGGTACACCTTGGTCTATACATTGTATTGTATACCTTGTTCTATACATTGTATGGTATACCTTGGTCTATACATTGTATCATACAACCTTGGTTTATACATTGTATGGTACACCTTGGTCTATACATTGTATCATACAACCTTGGTTTATACATTGTATGGTACACCTTGGTCTATACATTGTATTGTATACCTTGTTCTATACATTGTATGGTACACCTTGGTCTATACATTGTATCATACAACCTTGGTTTATACATTGTATGGTATACCTTGGTCTATACATTGTATCATACAACCTTGGTTTATACATTGTATGGTACACCTTGGTCTATACATTGTATTGTATACCTTGGTCTATACATTGTATTGTATACCTTGTTCTATACATTGTATGGTACACCTTGGTCTATACATTGTATCATACAACCTTGGTTTATACATAGTATGGTACACCTTGGTCTATACATTGTATCATACAACCTATACATTGTATCATACAACCTTGGTTTATACATTGTATGGTACACCTTGGTCTATACATTGTATTGTATACCTTGGTCTATACATTGTATGGTACACCTTGGTTTATACATTGTATGGTACACCTTGGTTTATACATTGTATCATACAACCTTGGTTTATACATTGTATGGTACACCTTGGTCTATACATTGTATGATACATTTTGGTCTAGACATGGTACGATACACCTTGGTTTATACATTGTATGGTACACCTTGGTCTATACATTTTATCATACAACCTTGGTTTATACATTTTATTATACACATTAATCAATACATTTTATGATACATTTTGGTCTAGACATGGTACGATACACCTTGGTTTATACATTGTATCATACAACCTTGGTTTACACATTGTATGGTACATCTTGGTCTATACATTGTATCATACAACCTTGGTTTACACATTGTATGGTACACCTTGGTTTATACATTTTATGGTACACCTTGGTCTATACATTGTATGGTACACCTTGGTTTACACATTGTATGGTACACCTTGGTCTATACATTGTATCATACAACCTTGGTTTACACATTGTATGGTACACCTTGGTCTATACATTGTATGGTACACCTTGGTTTATACATTGTATGGTACACCTTGGTCTATACATTGTACGATACACCTTAGTTTATAAATTGTACGATACACCTTGGTTTACACATTGTATGGTACACCTTGGTCTATACATTGTATGGTACACCTTAGTTTATACATTTTATTATACACATTAATCTATACATTGTATGGTACACCTTGGTCTATACATTGTATTATACACATTAATCTATACATTGTATGGTACACCTTGGTCTATACATTGTATTATACACATTAATCTATACATTGTATGGTACACCTTGGTCTATACATTGTATGGTACACCTTAGTTTATACATTTTATTATACACATTAATCTATACATTGTATAATACACCTTGGTCTATACATTGTGTTATACACATTGGTCTATACATTGTATGATACACCTTGGTCTATACATTGTATGGTACACCTTGGTTTATACATTGTATGATACACCTTTGTCTATACATTGTATTATACACCTTGGACATCACATGGTATGATACACCTAAATATTCAATATATTTATTTTTCAAAGTTATACAATGTAATATTCTGAGCTTCTTTGATTTAAACAATGTCCTTTATTTAATGTTTTGTAGGATTAGTTTTCTGGTGTTCAAATCGCCCTTTGTCTGTAATTTGTCAAACTGTTCTTAAACAGCCATTTTTTTTTACTTTACTGTGATCACTATTTCTTAGTGGAAATGGATTTTTAAATTTCATTTATAGGTTTTACTAAGTCTTCAGCTCAGCATAGTCCATTTTGAAACTGATCAGAAGAGCAGCTGTCTTTGTTTTTGACAGTCATAACTTGTTATTGTAATTTTGGAGAAAAATGACTGACAGGCTGTCATCTTGGATTCCAGCATCCTTGACAATGTAAACACCTGTAGACTGTTTTGTATGCCATTGATTAGTGTTACCGTTTCACATTAGTGCTTTAGGGAAGGAAACCTGCCAATAATACAGCCTAATTATCATAAGTTATTACTGATGTCACAGTATATGAACATGTTTCTCCATAACATGTCGGTAGTAGAAATGTGAAAGTATATTATGTTTATAGCCATATAAATCTAATGATATAATATTCCAGATGAACAAACAGATATTTTCACATAACAAAAAAATCATGCAATACTTTATTTGACACAAAAACATTTTTCAGGAATCTTGAATTGATGCGAGTCATTTAAAGAGATGCTATGTAAGGTACAACAATGCACTCTGGGCAAGACTGTTAATGATTGTTCATGCTGTTTCTTCAGGTGCATTTTCAAATTTCATTTAATAAACAACAAAAACAAAGAAAAGAGGAAAAAAGATCCAACTTTTTAAGACTGAATAAAGGTCAGATATTGGTAGGCGCCAAGATCCCTGTGGGATCTCTTATCAAGATTTGTTATAAAGTGTTTGTAGATTTTTTTTTTTTTTTATAAAAATTGAGTTTGATGGTAAATGTATCCAATAGATATAGAGTAAACCTTTAAAGGCTTTTGATTGTGTTAGGACTTAAAACATTGGACAAATATCACTGGGTTATCACTAAATAACAAAACCATTTAGCATCATAAATAATATCATTGTCATTCTAAAGTGCTTAAGCTATTGTTGGTATGATTTCCCTGACTGGAAACAGCGGAAGTTTTTTCCTAATTTGACATTCAGATCCACACAGTTCCTGTGTCCTGGATCTATTGTTAAAGGAACATGGGGATTGTCCTGAAGTTGATCAAGTGTGTTACGCCTGTGTTTGTCAGTTAAAATTCATTATTGAGAATTTATTAGAATGGAGGAGTGCAATACTTCTTAGTTTTATTGTAATGACATAATTGGTGCTTGTTCACTTTACCCATCTACATTTGTGTATATACCTAATGTAGCATGTTTCCTCCACATATCAGTACCACCCACCGCAAAGGAATGTATCCAGTAATAACAATTGATCAACTTAACCTTGACCCTTTAAAGTCAAAGTCATTGTCACTTTTCATGTCATTAAAATATTATATTATCATCTCAGATTTAGAAATCTTAGAAGTTTTTTTTTTATATTTCTTAATCAAAACAGAAATTCAAAGTAAATAATCCATGGAAAAGGGTAGGAGACTGTTGTGACATTTCCGTTCAGGTGATGTTGCTAAAAATAGAAACACCAAGGTAATATCATAATTTCTATCTAAGTATTCAACTAATGAAAAGTTAACTGGTCTTCAGGATTGTAATGAATATTGGTAATAATCACATGTATATGGTTTAATAGCAAAACTGAATTTGATTTTCTACATATAATGTTGGTTCTTTATACAAATAGGACATTACTATCTAGTTAAAATGTAGCTTAAACATAGACTTAAAATTTCATATTAAAATTGAATTACAGATTCATTAAACAAAATAAAAAGGAAAAATGGATCCAGAAACAAGTAAGGATAGCTTCTATTAATCTGTCTCCATGAAAATGTGCAAATCAGCATTATATCTGGTAAACTTTGTAACTTGGTAGGTTACCTTATTTGTGGTTTATGATATTTGTCAATGTGTTCCAGTGTTATTTAAGACTAAGTGATTTTCTATAACCCACCTTTAGATGTTGGTGTGTAACTGGGGCTGTATTTATTGTGTTAGTGTTTGAGCGGAGTATGTGTATTCATGTTGTGTGAAAAAAAGTTTACAGTATTACAGAAACTTTTATGACAAACATTCTGGCTTGGAGTATGCACGATTCCAATGTTTTTATCAGGCAATAAGCCCAGGTCTGTTAATAAGTCCACTCGTTAATTTTTTTCTGTTCGCTAAAACCAAACATGATTTGTCCTGCAATAAGCTCAGCATTGTCTGGTTATGCACATTTGCTTTCAGGGGTTTTTTTTTGTATTGCAGGATGAAAAGGAGGGGTATTAAATTATATATATGATTTTGTGCTAGAAAAGTGCCATGTGACATTTCAAATCTGAAGAAAGTATTAAAATTCATCAGTGTCACTTTTATATCATAATAATACCATATTGGAAACTTCTGTTGTGAAATGTCACATTGGACTCATTGTTGATTCATATCAATTGTCTACACTTTTATACTGTGATTTAAATAAGATTCAGAATTTTGAAATATTCCATTTCAGCATTTCCTTGCATTACCTTTGTTGTCAGCAGCATATTGGTGAGGTATTTAAGCACACCAAATTGTGTGAGGAGTGTAACAGGGGATTGTCTGGTGTTTATGTATTTTTGATTGTGTAAAACCATGCACACACACACACACATATATATATATATATATATTGTTTTGACTGATAATAAAGGTGCAATGTGAAGAAAGTATATTTAGCTTTCCGGTTGTTATTGAAGAAAACTTGGAACACATTTATTGGTATTCAGAATCAAGTGACTTTGAACTGGTAGCATTTCACAATATAGAATCAATATATAGAATCACAGGCACATTTAACAATATAAAAAGAAATTGGATCCACAAATAAGTTAGAATAGCTTCTGTTAATATGTCTCCATAAAAAATTTATACATTGGTACTCATAGTCAGGGAAAATATATAGTTATACATTGTTACAATCATACATATAAAGTCATACCAAATATAGTTATACACTGGTACTCAACATCATACAAATACAGCTATACACTGGTACTCAACATCATACATATATAGCTATACACTGGTACTCGCTACCATACAGATATAGCTATACACTGGTACTCGCCACCATACATATATAGCTATACATTGGTACTCAACATCATACATATATAGCTATACACTGGTACTCAACATCATACATATATAGCTATACATTGGTACTCGCTACCATACAGATATAGCTATACACTGGTACTCAACATCATACATATATAGCTATACACTGGTACTCAAAATCATACATATATAGCTATACATTGGTACTCGCTACCATACAGATATAGCTATACACTGGTACTCACCACCATACATATATAGCTATACACTGGTCCTCGCCACCATACAGATATAGCTATACACTGGTACTCAACATCATACATATATAGCTATACACTGGTACTCACCACCATACAGATATAGCTATACACTGGTACTCAACATCCTACAAATATACACTACCACTACCATACACACATTCAGACAAATATATTCATACAACAGTACTCACAATCCTATAAATATATGGAGCTCACTAGTACTCTTATACCGTGTCCCAAATCCCTCCATTAATTGCGAAGGGATATAACTCTTGCATAAATTTATTTAGAACTCTCCTCTACGGAAGTAGATATTCTACCTTCCGCAGACGAATGAACGTTAATTATCAGAAATGGATACCAACAATAAATACATTCCACCGGCATAACGATGGTAGGTACGTGGTATTTTTGGTCATATGTGTGAACAGTCATCTTCACGCCTTTGAAATTTGGAAGTAACCCACGAATTTGCTGAAATATAGTTATTGTGCGTGATATTTCAGACATGTTTGCTTACGAGTTCTGAATTTTTTAATAAACAGGTCTGATAAAAGTCCTGATATCAGCTGAAGGATTGTTCTTGTATATTCCTCATTAAAAGCTGTATTAAAATTACGTAATTATGCAATAACTTCAGGTGATTAAGGTACAACTAAGCGAGAGTCGAGGTCTTACAAAATCCCAATGCCATCTCCCCGACCTGTGATAAATGTTGAAATAGCTGATCTTTTAGTAGTACGTAATGCATGGTCGAAATACATCTTTGAGGTTCGTGGAAGAAAAAACACATATATACTAGTCTATTAAATGTTCGAAAATATTCTAAGTAGAGCAGGTTGGATATGTTTACAGCTTTGAGTAATAAATTTGTTATCCTCTACCCGTACGTTACTCTTCATGAGATTGTCAAATATTTTCATAAGACGTATGGTGCTGTACATTCGTCCATTGTAAACGTTGAATTGTCCAGATATTGAATTCTCCCAAAGTTTCCAGTCTATCTACATCAAACATGTTAGGCTTTATCACCATGATATGAGGTTGTGTTATCCTGATCAACGGCAGTTTGATTTGGCCGTTTTTGGAAGAGTTACTTCCCCTTGTTGTTTTCATAATGTTTATCTTGTTTGAAGATATCCCCTTTCAGTTTTTAGCAAATTATCTGATCAAATGACCCTTCATTCATCTTAGTCCCTAGTTGTGCACTGTATCATTTTGGGGCTGATTCATTAAAGCAAAATGGCCAACAAAAGGCTTTCTTGCATATTAACATGACTATTTCTGGTGAAGTACCTGATGGATAATTTTCCAATCAATATGTGGGGTTCTTGAGTCCTAGTTGTACATTGTGTCCTTTCTGAATGGATTAAAAAACAAGATGGCTGACGTGTGGCCATATTGGATTTTGACAGTAATGAATTTCAGGAAAGTATAGGATGGATAGTTCTGAAATTTCATATGAATATTTCCCTTGGCCTCTAGTTGTACACTGTCCCATTTCTTGTTTCTTAAGTGATTCAAGAAACAAAATGGCAGACAGAAGGCCATCAAGGATTTTGACATTGAAAGCAATTTCAGAAGAAGTACTAGATGGCTGAAAATCAAATTTCATATGAACATTTTCCTTGGCACCTAGTTGTGCCCTTATAAGTAAGGGAGTGATAAAAAAAAGGATAGTTGACAAGCACAGATCTTTCATTTTGACAGTGAAAGTTTGTTATCATTCTTTCTTAAATGTAGATTCCCTTTTAGTTATGCCCTGTTGGGCCAAGTGAGCTTTAGGGATAAAATTGCATGTCCTCCATTGGTCTGGCATATGTCAATTTTCCTATAAATTGCTACTAGTCATGAATGACTGAGTGGATTTTAACCAAATTTGGTCTGAAGGTATTCTTTTGGGAAGGGGAAATAATTTTGTGTAAATGGTGGGTTGGGAACTCCAGGGCCTGAGAAGTGGGGTCCATTAGGGGGAAATCTATTAATTTCTTTAAAATCTATCATGCTTGTTTAGATTTAGTCTGAAGCACGCTTGAGTGAAGGAAAACCAGTTTTGTATGAGTGATGGGTCTCGGCCTCCCGGTCAGGAGGAGTAAAACCCAATAGAATAGAGCAAATTCTCTAAAATTCTACTCCTCCTGTAGGAATGAATTTAGTCTGCAGCCTCCTACAGATGAGGGAAAGTGTAGGTCTAGGCTTCCTAGGGCAGGAAGGGTGGAGCCCATATGGTTGAATTTAAATCCTACTACTCCTGTAGGAATGAATAGAGTTTGCCAAAATTTATTGTGAAAGACCCCTTGGAGAAGTGAAATCAATTTCCTATAAATGGTGAGTCTTGGATCTAAGGCCTCTGGGACAAGAGAGGCAGGACAAAATGGTGGAAATAGAGCAAGTTTCTCTAAAACCCATCTTTTGTGGGAGTCCCTTGATTCTGTTTCAATTTGGTCTGAAGTAAACCAAATTGAAAGGAATCTGAATTTGTATCAACCAGGATTCTTGACATCAGAGATGTGGGGCCCAATAAGGGAAATGTAAGTTTTTAAAGATCCTCCTTTCATGCAAAGATATTGTCCTAGATCGGTCTGAGGCAATTTTTATGAATGGGGAATACGACTTCTGTTTGACCAGAAGGCCTGGACCCAATAGGGAAATCATTTAAAAAATTATTATGTCATATATGAATATTCTTTGTTCAATGACTGAATTGATGAATTATCCAGGTGAGTGATGCAGGGCCCTTGGGCCTCTTCTTTGTGTTCTAGATGGATCATTCTCAAATTTCAAATGTAACTTTGCCTTTGTCCTTAGTTATATATATAGTCCATTTTGAGAATGACTAGAAAAGCAAGATGATTGATAGGCATTAATCCTATTTTTGGAGAAGTATTGAATGAATCATTCCGAAATTTCATATGAAGGTTCTCTTTGGTCCCTTGTTGTTCCTTTTGATTATCCCCCAGCCAGCGAAGTTGTGGGGGGATATTCAAATGGGTTCCATCTGTTCATCTGTCCATCCGTATGCTGCTTTCCACATGAAGTGCTGGTTGAATTTAGATGAAACTTGGTTGGTACACTTACCTTAATCCCTTGCCCAAGTATGATTTATGGCAAATTCTGTGCATATTTGATGAGGCTGCTGTGACCTAATTGGCCGATTCCTTTCAACACTGTAACTGTATGCTTTCCACACATTATCTTCTGAAGGAACAAATTGATTATGATGAAACTTGCTTGGTAGATTTGTAACCTAAACCCCTTGTTCAAGTTTGATTATTCGCAAATTCTTCACATATTTAATGAGGCTGCTGTGACCTAATTGATATCTTTTCCAGTCTTCCATGTCGCTCACTGGAAATGTATATATTTTACAAATGATCATAGGGTGGGGGGGAACTTGATGACTTTGTCCCTGTTGATTTTGGAAATGATCAGATAAACAAAATAGCTGACATGCGACTGTTATCTTGGATTTAGAGTTGGAATGATTGTTATTCCTATTTCTTAGGAAGTACTGGATACATCTTTTTAACATTTAGTATGGAGGTTCTTCTTTGTCTGCAATTGTGCTATTTGTATTTTGGGACAGATCAGCAAAATAGAGTGGCTGACAGGAGACCATCTTGGATTTTGACTATGAAAATTTGTATTGCTCTTTCTTTGAGGAAGTGCTAGATAGATCTTTCTCAAATTTCATATATAGGTTCCCCTTGGTTGTGCCATTTTGATATCAGGATTGTCAGAAAAACATCATGACTGACAGATGGCCATCTTCGATTTTGACTATGAAAGTGTGTTATTACAATTTCTTGTGAGGAATTTAATGGCTCTTTATCCAATTTCATACATACTTTCTCCATGATCCCTACTTGTGACCTTTTGTTTTGAAACTAATTAGAAAAACAAAATGGCTGATGGGAGACCATCTGGGATTTGACATTTAAAGTTCTTTCGATGAACTTTCAAATTCAATGTAATAAAGAGCAAAAACAAACAAGAGAAGAGAAAAAGATCTAAATACAAAAGTTTTTACCCAATTTCATTGAAATACCACACATGAAGGTCAAGGTCACTTGTATTAAAAATGATATAACCAGTACATGTAAATTTAAGATTAATCTCCATTTTGACTGTCCATTAAGATATAACTTCAAAAGGTACCCATGTACACACTAAAATATCGTAGACACTGCTGGATACTTTCAGTATCTGTACACGTTGTGCATAGGCCTACAGGCATATCATGCTTCCACTCAAAAATCACTTGTTTTCATTTCTTATCAATGTGATGATTTTTGCTAATGAATAGTTTACTTCATCAATCCACCAAGACATACATGTAATATTATTATACCTCCTGAGCTATAAGGATTTACATCCTAGATATGTAACATTTTTCAGTGTTGTTCATCCACTGACATGCAATGACTAAAGTATCATTAGAAGCTAGTCTAGAATATTATAAAGCATGGAAAACCATGGCCATGTACAGTTGATTAAAATTCACCAAAGTAACAGGTAAACATACTGAGAGCAGGCACAAGATTACAGCATATGGTGTTTGCACATGGCCAGTATTATGCTGGGATAAATCTTCACATATATGTCAGCAGATCTATTATGAGAGATTTTGTCAAAAAAGTAATTCTCAACATCTATTTTACTATGTACAAGTTTACTATTCCCCCCCCCCCCCCCCACCTCCAACCACCTCCCCCTCAATTGTTCAAACAAATGTAATTTGACATAAATTTGTAATGTGTATTACTATTTCCCCTTTTAGTTGCTGCTGTAAGGTGAGTGTTACAGGCCTGTTAGACCCCTTGTTTCAATGCAGAAAAGTAAATTTTATTTTTTCTTATTTCAGACAAAGAACAAGAAAACATCGCTGTTTTTTTTTCTCTGTAACTAACACCACAAGACGATGGAAGGCTCTACATATCAAAACTCTGGTTATTCACCAACTTTACAACATTCACAGCATCATGGAAATTCCTCAACAACAACAGTTTCCAAGTCATCAAGTCCAGTATCATCCAATTTAAATATCAATACTTCACCAAATGGAGGCCAAACATCATCACCAAACACACAGAACTGTCACTACACTCACAATGGAAATAACTCACCTGCAACAAATACACCTGGATTCTTGAATCAACACCTGGTAGCTACCACCCTAGGGATTCCAAGTGTGACCATGTCTGGGATCAAACCCCATGGGAGTGGTGACCCAGGGACTGCATCAAGTACAAGACCCCAAACTACCTCTGTGATGAGCCATAGTCAGAATTTGAACCATGATGGACAGAACATTCAAGAAAATGTTATGTTTGGTGTGCACAACAAGGTCCCAGAACCGCTACCATTAGTTGACCCCACCCTTGCCTTTCAGAAGACTTTAAGAGCAGATCCTCAGTTTACATCATATTTTGAGCAATTACAGTCAAGTAACAATGATGGTCAGTCTGCATCAAGTAGAAGTACTGTCATTGAAGAAAAGATGTTTCAGATTTTTAAACAGCAAATGGGTTATGATGTGTCAAATGAAACACAAAGCAAAGATTTGCCTTCTACAAGCCAAGTTAATCCAGAGAGGAATGAGAATGTAAGTCAAGTGAACATGCTTTCTCAGAACTTACAGACAAACCCACAAGTTGGTTCTGTGTGTATTGATTCAGATGCTTATAATGGGGAAAAGGAAGATATTTCTAATAGTTGCATAAAAACACAGGGGATGTCCAATTCCTGGACATCCACATTGCCATCAATGACCATGATGGCAGGAATAAGACCTAAAAACAAAAAAGATATCTATCACAGTGATGACAATGATGAAGAATGTCAGGGGAAGAAAAAGAAGAAGAAAGTAGACAAATCACAGCACACAAGACCAGAGATATCTGAATATTCTAGTATAAATGTGAATGGGTTAGGACTTGTGGCAGCAGCTGCAGCTGTAGCACAAAGAACTACTGAAAATAATGTTCCTTTACTCCAGTCTGGCCCTGATATGTTAGCCATCACTAACACGCAACCTATCTTTCCTACCACATATCAAGGTTTTCATGAGACCATGCTTGCTGCTAACAACATCAGTGGTCAGGGTGGAAAGTTAAGACAGAATATTGATGGACCAGTCTCCTGTGACATTTGTGGTATCATGTGTGCAAATAACTTTGGTCTGTCTCTCCACAAAAAATCTCATGTGAATCAAACATTTAAATGCAGAGAATGCAGTTTTGCTGCTGGTACTGTAACACAATTACGACTGCATGAAAAGTATGTGCACAGCTCGGTAAACTCAAGCTCCACAGAAGTTGACTTCCAACAGAATAGTCTTGGACTTGGCACTAGTAGCAATAATAATGCCAACTTTAGTTCACAACCTCAACAAAAATCAAGCATAATGGATGCAAACACAGAGAACAATGAAAGAGTTAATTACCCATTCCAGTGTTCAGTATGTGATGGAGCATTTCGCCGAAAGCAGGATCTGACGCGGCATATGCAGGTCCACAAGAACATACACAAGTGTAATGTTTGTCAGGAGGGATTCCCTTCCAAGCAGAAACTGGCATCACACACTGCAGAAAGTCACCAGAGTGGAATGTTTTCCTGTTACCAGTGTTTGGCTCAGTTTGCTCATCCAGTGCACCTGCAGCTACACCTGAATATCTGTAACCAGAGCACAACAACAGCCATCCAGAAGAGGTGGAAGAATGTAGAGCAAACAGCAGATGAAGTCATGGTAGGGGACAGGGACAAACATAATGTGTGTAATGTATGTGGGAAGGGCTTTAAAATGGTACACTACCTGAAGTCACACATGAGGACACACACCGGAGAACGGCCCTTCTCCTGTCACATTTGTTTCAAATCATTCTCCCAACGATCTACGCTTAAAGTTCATAACCGCATTCATACAGGAGAGAAGCCTTATCAGTGCAGCATGTGTAACAAGGCATTCTCTGTCAGACTGTACCTACAGGCACACATACGCACGCACACAGGCGAGCGACCTTACAAATGTAATATCTGTAATCGATCCTTCAGTCAGAGGTCCTCATTGGTCACACACACCAAGCGACATGACGGATTCTGACTGTTCATCAGAGTGAATCTGTAGTTCATTGCACTCACCTAACAACTCCATATGTTCTAGAAATAATCTTTCATTTATATAGTATAGAGATGGTAAACTGTGTAGCATTATTAGGTATTATTATTGTAGTATTAGGTCATTGTAACCTTAGCTGACGGACTGAGGTCAGCCATACTGCATCATACATTACCCTTCCAAATGGTCCTATGTCTGGTGTCAACTGAATAAGATAGCTCATTTTGAATAATTAAATCATTTCATTTAAGTTATATATGATCAAATGTTGTGAGATTTAATTCCTTAAGAGTCATAGTCAAATTCCTAGAGATTCAAACCCTAGTTACCCTATGAAATAAGTGTTAATGCTACAATTAAGAATTAGTAAAGGGGTCTCAGCCCTGGGACACTGCAGTAGGTCATAATGTAAAATCGTGAGGTCCTCACCCTAGATATTTATTTATTAAGATTTATAATTACCTTGTTAATAAAAAGTCTGTTATCGGTGTTATAACACCTGTTTCATTATTTAATGATGGTGTGTGATATATTTGTGAATGGCTGAAGGTTCTCTTTGCTTCATTTGTGACACATGAATTTCATGATATCATATAGATGCAAATAGTGAGAATATCCCCAGTAGAGACTGTTATGTTTAATAAAACACTTGTTTGATAAATGCCTAGATACTTTTGTTATGTGATAAACAGAGCATTTCTTGAGTTTCTGTTTTATAGGAGATTTCTAAAACTTATCACATTTAAGGTCGTATATTGAACATAAAACTTTCTCTGAATAATTATAATATAATGATACTTGGCCATGGTTAGTGAAGAACTGTATGGTCTTATGATTATGGATCAGAAAAGAATTAAGATATTTTGAATCACAAGGCTTTAAAAGACCATACCACACTACACTAACAAGTAGCAGATACTATAAATACTGAATGGACATAAACAATACTACTAAGATGATGAAAATGATTGAAATCCTCAGACCTATAAACTTAACAAATTTGCCCTGAAGTATGCTTTGAACCAGCAAGATGTTTGCTAAACAAAGAGTGTATGTTGTCGTAATAGTAGAAAAGACACTTGTGAGTTATGAAGGCTTTATAAACATTTATCTGGCAATAAGCCCATGTCTGACATAAGCCTTCACATCTTTACTAGTACTTCTGTTCATTAGAGTTATAAAACTAATGCTACAGAAGCCCAGTTGTGTCCCCTTGTTTTTGTGTGATGTCTACTGTCGGGTCTAATTCCAGAATTAAGGTATGACTGAGATATCATTTATGTGCTGAATATGTATCTAAATAGCATCTTTTTAATCATACATTTAGGAAATAGTTACTTCTAGACATTGATAGTTCCCATGTGATCCCTTGTTAATTGTTATCATACATTGTTGTTATATGTGTAACTTGCCGTTTTAGTGCTTTGTATATCTATTGTTTTATGTGTCCAAGCATTGTTATCTGATTTGTGTTGTGAACTTTGCACCACAATAGAAGACAATTTTGTCAACAACTTATCTAGAGATGTTGATAAAGGTATTTTTCTTTTAAACAAATCATTTTTGTTTTAGCTCATCCAGCAAAGTCATGGTACTGTTATGTAACTGTTGTTAAACTACAAATTTTAGCTCACCTGAGACAAAGTGTATTGGTGACCCATAGCAATCGCCTTTTGTCTGGCATTGTGGGTCCTTAAACTTTTAAACATTTTCAACTTCATCTCAAAAGATCCAAAACCGATTTCAATGCAATTTTGTAGAACTCTTTTATATCCAGAGATGAACCAAATTATGAATTATATGGTCACCTCCCTCCAGGGAAAAGGGTGAATTTTACTATAATTTATATAGGAAATTACATTTATGGGGATCATTTGTTGAATTTCCACTGGAAAAGTATAGGATAGTGGTTTGATGGTGAGCATATATTGACCCTGGCTGACCCCCAGGGGCTTAAGTCATATCAATTAGTCTTACTGTTATCAATGTCACAAATTCTTTTTCATGACACTTAAAAGCTAATTACATTAAGATGTATCCTTACATCCTTTATATTTGATATTGCTTATCTCAGGTGACTGTCAAGGCCACTGGACCTTTTGTTTGTGTACTACAGATGTTAGTATATTTAAGAACACAGATACGGAATTTCTTGTTTAAATATGTAAACTTTATTTGTTTTACAACAATTAGAAAACAAGCTACATGTATCAGCTTATTCTAATCACCCTTAAGGTATGAAATAAAATATGCTGAAATAATGTTTTGATAAGTTTTGCAACTTCAGAAAAAAACCAGCTAGCTGTAACTGTAGGGGGCTCTTAATCCCATTTTAGAAGGGAAAAAAAAGGCTGGGCCATGAGTAAAAGGTGAAAAATTACTGTGAAATCTACTAGTACTCTACTCTGTGTCAGTATTCATTGGTTGATTAAGATCAACTGCGTAATCAACAAAATTAAAACCCACATCTTACAGTATTGGGCCAAAGGGACCGGATTTCCCATGGTAAAGGATGATTTGACCAAGGAGGTCCTGTTGTATAAATAAAAGGTATAGGATGGCTGGACCATGGGGATTCCCTGGTGTATAATTTCGATGGCTGGGCTGGGCTGGGCTGGACTCCCCAGTGAACAAACGATAGGTAAAGGATATCTTGGCCAAGTGAGTTCCAAATTTTATATCGAAGTTAAAGCATGGCAGGGCTAAGGCTACTCCCAATTTAATGAATTGAAGATAATAGATGGCTGGACCAATAGGATTATGCAGCGTATTATGAAAAGGTAAAGGATGACTAGACCAAGGGGATTCCCCAGTGACTTCATATGTTCAAGCTTGGCAGGGTCATTGATATTCCCCAATGTGCAAAAAGGTTCAGATTGTCTGGGCCAAGGAGATTCCCAGAGTACAAGTAAAATGCAGGGCCATAAAAGATATATGTCACAACATAGAATGAAGTTGTAGGCCATTTTCAGCATAAATATATCTATGAAATTGTTTTGAACCTGATATGTTATTCAGGTTCCTCCACCTATTATTTTGGTAGCCATATTGGTATGGAAAAAATATATATATACACTCAAGGGATAAAGAAACGCAGGGTAAACTTTTAAGATGATTCTAGGGAAGACATCGAGTATAATCTAATTTTAAAGTAAGAATGAAGATAAAAACCATGCAGAACAAACTGCAAAATCAACAATGTGTATCTGGTAAGTGATTTAGGGGTAATTGAAGGGAATTGAAAGAAAACTCTGTAATCTGAAACAAAATGGACTGAATGTGGGAGCTGGCTAGTCAATACCGGGTATGTCACCATTCGTTCTCCACAGTCCTGGTTTTCTAGGCATGAAGTTCATGAGTGCTCAATAGGGGATAGGTCGGGGCTGTATGACTGGAATGTGAGATTGTTTTGCTGCAATGACACAACATGGGGTCCAAGGATCTTGTCTCTATACCTAGCAACATTTGAATTACCTGCTACCACAAGCAGTGGTGATTTAACTCCATGTGAGATTCCTCCCCACACCATAACTGATCCACCCCCAAACCTATCCATCTCTACTATGCAGCAGTTGGCAAAATGTTCTCTATGATATCGGTATGCACGACGTCAACTGTCTGCTCGATACAGGGTGAACCAAGACTCTTCATGAAACAAAACCTGTCTCCATGCTTCAATGGGAATATTCTGGGGATATGTGCTGTAACCCAAGCTGTGTGATGCTGGCGATGAGCAGCGATAAGGGGCAGACCTACAAACAGGTGACATGCCCGCAAACCAACTTCCTACAATTGTTTCCTTACAAGTCTTGCATGGATAAGATGGTTATGAGTACCTAAGGTATGAAGGACAGATTCAGTGGCAGTAAGGTGTTGATTGCGCAGATGCAAATAAATCTGTCTTGGCATTGTGACATCATGCGCAGACACCCAGACCCAGGTTTGTTGGCAATTCACCCAGTTTCCCTTAGATATTCTATAGTGCAAATATAGACACCGAAATGTCTGGCAACATGTATTTGCCTTTGACCTTGCATAATCATCGCATAGGTCTGACCCCTCTAAACTTCCGTCAGCCGTGCCATTGTTTAATGCTATCAGAAATTAATAAAAATATCGGAAAATGATGTGTCTCTACGAAGACTATCAAACGGTATAAGGAGCAGAGTAACTCAACGTCACAACACTGCTGTGCATGAGATTTTCCTGTTTTGTGCTTTCCCTGGAAACAATACAATAATGCTACATTAGATACAGGACCACGTACACTAAGCTAGAGAGTTGCTTGTCCGATTATAATTGGTGTTTGCAAAATATTGCAAATAATGTCACCCTGCATTTCTTTATCCCTTGAGTATATGTGTGTGTTCAGGTTGGTTGGTTGTGCTATTTTTTTTTTTTTTTAATTTCAATTGTAATCTCACCTTGACCCAATGGAATGAAAATCTCATTTTCTTTAAAATCCATCTTGTTCTTTAAGAATTGCGTTATATTGTCCAAATTTGGTCTGAAGCATTCTTGAGTGAAGGGAAATCATTGTTGTATACATAGTGGGTGACCATCTCTTGGGATGGGATGAACACTAAATAGTAATTTTGTATCAAGGTTTTCCACAAAGAAACACCATTAATGTCAAAAGTGGGGGTTATCAAGAAGATCTCAAATGTCACAGTTTTGTATAAACAATGGGTTTCGGCCCCTTTGGGTGGGGAGGGCAAGGCCTTATAGGGGAAATAAAGCAAATTATTTGAAATCTTATTCTTCTTTAGGAACAGTATGATTTTCCCCAAAGTTGTTCTGAAACATGCTTAGGTAAGAGAAATCAACATTTTATAAACTGGATCTTGGCCCGTTTTAGCAGGAGGAGGAATAATAGTTTATGGTTATAATAGAGGTTATAATGTCTGGTAGGTTATAATGTTTGGTAGTTATTCAAATTAGTCTATGGTTATAATAGAGGAAACCCTTTTAAATTCAACTCCTCT